GAGATGGACATGTTCCGACTGCAGTGACCCCAACACAGTAGACAAGTAAGACAGTAAAAGGAAAGAGGACTTTGTTTTTTTTTCTACACAACATGAGAAAACTGACAAGATCGTTTGTGGCGTTGGTGGCCTAGTGGTTAGGCTCTCGGACTCGCAACCGTTAGGTTGTGGGTTCGAATCCCGTCAGGGGCCCGACATTGTGTCCTTGGGAAAGGCATTTTGCACAAATTTTCCTCACTTCACCCAGGTGGAAATGGGCACCCGGCTATAGACAGCGAACGATCTTGTCAGTTTGATAGTGTCTGAGTGTGTGAAATACGCAGCTTGCACTGTATGCTTCTGCGGAAGCCAAGAATGTTTCTGAGTTTTCTCAGAGGGTCTGCTGGGGTAATAATGGTTGTTAAGCGCATAGAGCATGCTCTTGAGCATGGATATGCGCTATATAAATGCAATTATTATTGTTATTAAAGCAACAGCAAAGAGGCCACCTGTGATCATAAGCAGATTCACGAAAAAGAAAATATTCAAATCTGTCTGTCTGTGAGGATACTGTACCCACTGGGCCTAGGTTGACCCTGACAGGAAGGGTCAAAGCAGCCTGCATCCTACTGCAACTAAAGTCACCGAAAGTAATGTAAGTGTTAAGACATTTACAATTACAAACTACAAACAATGTTTATGTAAAACTTGGTCACAGGCAGGGTTGAAGCAGACTGCCTCATAAGAAATAAAATTCTGTCAATGGGGACATAACACTACTCTTTTTAGTTTAAGTAGAGGTTTTACGGCGCTCACAACTGCATAAGGTCACATGAGCGCCAGAAGATTAGATGTGTTACAAGAGAGTAACAAACAAAAAGAAGAAGAAGGGGAGATAAGTAAGATAAATGTTTGATAGGAAAGAAGGAGCAAACCACACCAGAGCACCCGCCAACCACCCACTAACGCTACCCTAGAATAACAAAGTTCTATCTGCTCTTGTATCTAGTTTTGAGAAATTTTATTGACATAAAGAATTTTGCGTTTCACAACATTTCAAGCTTTTTTTAATGCATTTATTGAATGTCTTGACATCGACTCCGAATAATTTTATGATTTTGATAGAGCAGATAGAACATGTAGTTTCTGACCTCTTGATCCGTAACTCAAAATGGACAAAAATGTCAGATAGACATTTGTAACTCTAAAGTAGCGATAAAACATTGACCGTTACAACTAACGACTTACAATGTTTGTGTAGAACTTGGTCACAGGGGCTTTGTAGAACTTGTGGATGGCCTTGAGGAGGTGGATGCCGTTGTTTCTACCACAGTCAAATAGCCTGACCTCGGAATAATTGGATTTCTTTGTGCTATCAACCCTCCGGGTCTTGGACCTAGCAAACCGAGGGCTCGTAGTCGCTTGACCATCCGGATCCACTGGTTCTAGGTTGTTATCTGTGACCACCATCTCCTGGTCTGACACACTTCCCCAGTATTCACTGGTGCAATTACGAGAGCTTTTGAATTTGATCAAGAAGATCAGGAAGGGTAGCAAGATCGTAATGAGAATCTGGAACAGACCGAAAACACAACACTCAGAATGATGTAATGAGAGATACAACTGCTCTTTGAGGTCTCAACTCACACTCTGAAATTCGTGAACACCATGTATGCTGCAAACATTCAAAGAGTGAGCTATAGCAACAACAAAAAGTCGACCATTAAAGCATATTTTTACTATCAGAAGAAGGAAAATGCTTGTCTTGATCATCAATATTCTAAAGCCTTGAAGATAAATTTATGTTCATTATGTGGCAACGGTAGTCTAGTGGTTAGGCAACTGGACTCGTAACCACAGAGTTGCAGGTGTTTTAGTTCGAGTCTTATGTGTGACGTTTTGTCCCTGAGAGAGACACTTTACACAAATTTTCCTCACTTCACCCAGGTGGGAATGGGTATCCAGCCACAGACAGCTAAAGATCTTGTCAGCATGTAGCTGTTTATGCACCCATAAGATGGCACCTTGCACTGCACACTTCCCAGGTAGTTGAGATTGTTTCAGAATGCTATCAGGTCTGCTGGTGTAATCATATATGTTTATCAGGAATTTGCTCCATACAAATGCTATTTTTTTATCATCATATTAATTAGTTTGAGATGATGCATAAAAAGAAATTTTCTTCAAGAGGCTTTCATAAGGCCCTCGCTAAGACATGAAAGTAGAAAACTAACCCATCTCTGAAACTCTTTGCAAAAAGAGGTGCCAGACCCTTGAGCAACAGATTACACCTTGGAGCACTCAAAAGCACGCCCAACTTAGAAACGGCAGACTCCCGAAACTGACATCTAAGCACTGATTGTTTTCTCTTACATTTTCTTTCGTTTACATAGCACCCAAAACTCAAACCAAAGCAAAGATAACTCAGACAAGATTTCCTGTTACTACATCGAAATTTGTTGCATAGTCTAGGGCACTGGCTGAGCAGTTCACTTTTTATTTCATTCAGATAGTTTTTGTTTCAACTTGAGATATATGCAGTTTTTAAAATGACTTCTCTCTCAGATCCATTTCTCAAACATTCCATGAAACTCAAACTTTAAAAATTACAAAGAGGTATCTACACAAACTTCATTCTAGATAACATTTGGTTAACCACATAAACTTTAAAGTCAGCGTGATTCTTTTCTACAAGCTTACCCCCTGAATCAACTCTGTGTAGGTTTTCCCTGCACCTTGCACGTCTCATAAAATCTTGTAACATGCATTGAACATTACAAATTATAGGTATGTGCTACATAAATGTCATGTATTATATTATCATTATCACTATTATCATTAATACTGTGATTATTATTATCATCATCACTATCATCATTGTTATTATCATTTTATTATTACTATTATCATCATTACTACTATTATTATTATTATTACTATTATTACTATTATCATCATTGTTACTATTATTATTGTTACTATTATTATTATTATTATTATTATTATTATTATTATTATGATAATACATTATCATTATTTTGTCAAAAAGTCTTTCAACCACTTCTAAAACAGTCTCTAGTCCTACTCACCTTCCCCTCAGAAGTATGTGTGGTCAAGCTGCCTTTCCAGATGTCGGAGAGCTTTGTCTGACAAGCTGAATGCTCCGCAAACTCCATGAGCTCCTGTCTCTCCACCAGGTTGAGCACGGTCATGTGACCAAGCTGCTTCAGTTCGCGAGTGAGAAGCAGGTGAGTGTCGCATTTTGTCCGGGTGTAGCACTCTGACAGCACAGAGATGGCAAAGGTCTCCAGCATCCTGAGAATGCACAAATCTTAATGTCTTGATGGGATGCACAGGATGAAAAAATGGAATGAACACTAATACCTAAATACCAGGAGGTGTCATCTCTGACTCAGAGGTTTGGCGGGTAATGACCCTCCATCCTTCACGGTCGCCAGCTGCCGTTGCACATTTTTTCAGCTATATCCAGGCCAGTCCATGTTTTTATGTTGTTCATCCATGTTACTCTTTGTCTTCCCCTGGCTCTCTTGCCCCACATCCTTCCTTCAAGCATCTCTTTCACAATAGTCTCATGTCGTTTTAAGTGGCCATAGTATTGTATTTTCCTCAATTGCAATACTAATAGTTATAATCAAAGAAGGATATTTCCCACACACTTCGGACTGTTTTATAAGAAAACAGAAGACTACCAAGTAACTCAAGCAAGTGAGCTAGACAGATAGATAGGATATACAGGGTGTCCCAATGAAAAAAGGAGGACTGACTTAAAAGTCAATAATTCTGCCATCTGTGCAACTAATTTCAAGAAAACTGTTAACAAATTAAATTCAACTATGGGGATTTTGAATTTGTTAATTTGGTCTACCCTGCCCTGCCTCTTTTGCCTTCTATCAATTATTCCAAATAGAGCTTGGGAGCTTGTATGGGCAAAAGTACATGTCGCTGAAGAGATTCTTGGCACTGTTGGCCAAATGGTTAGGCTCAAGGACTCACAACCATTAGGTTGTGGGTTCGAATCCCGCCAGGGGCTCGACATTGTGTCCTTGGGAAAGGCACTTTACACAAATATTCCTCACTTCAACCAGGTGAAAATGGGTACCCGGCTATAGACAGTGAGAGATCTTGTCAGTATGTTAGTGTATGAGCGTGTGAAATCCGCAGCATGCACTGTATGCTTCCCGGGAAGCCGAGAATGTTTCTGAGAGTTCTCAGAGGGTCTGCTGGGTAATAATAAGTTGTAAAGTGCATAGAGCATGCTGCAGAGTGTGGATATGCGCTATATAAATGCAATTATCGTCATTAAAACAAAAGCGAAACTCACTGAGCGTGCTGGGAGAGGTTGACACTGATGCTGACCTCCTCGTCCATGTCTGCCTTGTCCGACAAAGCCTTGAGGAGAGAGCACCCTAGCAACGCTGTGCCTGAAACAACACATGGATGCACAATGATGAAACATAAATATTGAGCCTGAAACAACACGCAGCACACAATGAAACAATGAAGCAATATGTAAGGCATCATGGTGAAATCAGGCGCTCGTCAAAATAATGACATAGATCTAGTAGAAACAGACATTTTTCCTCCAGTTTGGCAATTTTCGTCGAATTTTTTTATTCTTGGCTCAACACCTTTTTTGTCCATTATAAAAATACATTTCCAAGTGGAATTTACTGAAGAACGTTGATTAATGGCACAAAATATGTACATTTTCAGTTTTCAAGGACTCTCAAGCTGTAGAAGTTTCCAAACTTTGGCAGCCATTTCCTTGTAAATTTTACCTCAGAAAACCAGCTACCTACACCTCCTTCAATTGCAAATATCTCGACTTCTGTTCAAGATAGACGGATAGTGTTTTCTCCAAAAGAAAGACAAATAAACAAGCTTTAAGATTACATTAATCAGTCTATATGCCCAAAAGTTGACGAGCGCCTGATGCCACCATGTAGTGACACATATTGATAACACAAATAAGTCATTTACATTTATAATTATAGTCCATTTCATTTCTAGATGGGGCCTATAATAAATACACCTTCAGATATTTGCACACATATTCATCAATTTGAAAATACTTGAATAAACAAAAATTAACTCTCTCTCTCTCTCTCTCTCTCTCTCTCTCTCTCTCTCTCTCTCTCTCTTCTCTCTCTGTCCCTCTCCAACTCTACGAGAAGCCTTATCATCAGGCACAGATATAGAGAGAGAGGATCACAGATGACAAATGATATAAAAGTGAACACAAAGAAAAGATTAAATGAGAAGGCATGAAAGAGTATAGAAAGATAACACAAGATGGGCTTTACTTTCCAAGTCCAGGAAATCAAAAGAAAATCATCAGCACGCTGTTCAATAAGTATTCAAGTCTCTGAGATAGATTCAAACTGAAATCTTACCTTTCCTTCTTAAACACTCCAAAAAATATAAATCAAGGTTCCAATTATTCAACAGCTATCTGGGTGGTTAACTTTTCTAAAAATTGATACAGACCAGAGGACATGAACAAAGTTTACCGATCTGATCAACACCCAAGTTGAGGAAGAGGTGAGCCATTTTCCTTCTGTTAAACATAATGGCAAAGATGAACAGGTCCCTCTCAGGATGCTCAAAGTCAAAATTCTCCTTCAGTTTTTGTTTGTGACGTCGACTCCGAGATCGAAACGCACCAGGATCTAAAGACACCAAACATAAAAATTTGCATTTCAAAACAGCTGTTTTAGATTAAAAAGAAAACAAAAGCTTCCTGTACTTTTAGGCTAATCTCAAACAAAAACAAACATCTCACTCAGAAAGTATTTTACACCAGGAATCTTTCATTTTGGAAATTCTCTTCTATTAAGGATGAAAAAATAACATTTGTAAATATTTTTCCATTAATTAATTGTTTGTTCTCTGATCCCTCTAAATCATGCAAACAAAAGAAGGGATGCATAAAAAAGGGGGAACTACCAAAAGCCTCTTGAAGACCCTGACCAAAACCAATAAATAAAATAATACAAATCTGATTTCAGAAACAGTTATTTATACACTTCTTGGCGTTCTCAACAGTATTATAACACCTTGAATCAAAAGAGGAATACACCAAATCTTTCATTCCAAAAAAACACTTATACTGGAGAAAAAAAAACAATAACTGAGGAAAGGAGTAATAGCACCACGCATTTTTCATGATACACTAAAAACAATTGAGGTAAGAGACAGAAAAATATGATTACTCTTGTATAGACTTTTTTTTTTAAACCAGTGCTCACATAATGCTCATAAGGACAAGGACTAAAGTAAGCCTAATGAGTGGAGAGAATTCCAGAGCTTGTCAAGACAGAAGAAGAGCCAATAACAAGCTACAGAAAGAGTCAGCAAAAGAGCATTGCGTTGGTGAAGAGAAAAACTAATGTCAGACCATTGACTAAAAGTGGTATAGGTTTAACTCTCCGATCAACAAGACCATTGACTTTGCTATTCAAAAGAAGTAAACTAAGACCATAGACTTGTACTATCAATAAGACCTAAAGTCATTCATATGCATTATTGCTAAGAAAAAAGACCATAGACTTGTATTCTTAAAAAGCAGAAGAGTAAAATGATAGACTTGAACTATTTAGATAGAAGTAAACTAAGACCATAGACTTGTAGGCTACTATAAATAAGAAATAAGACCATGACTTATACTACTAATAAAAAAAAGTATGACCATAGACTTGGACTACATGTATTAATTAAAGCCTTAGATTTGTTCTATTAATAAGAAGTAAAACCATAAACTTTTTTTTTAGTAAGAAGTAAAATAAAGTAAGGCTACAGACTTGAACTATCACTACAACGAGAAACTGGTGAGAGCTGAAGAGAGAACATTCTACTTTCAAGAAGCACACAACCTTGCTCTGTGGACTTCATCTTAAGTCACCTGGGAAGAGTTATTTCTTGTGAATTATTATATTTCAATACACATCGCAATAATGGCACTTTGAGCCCTGTACCTCAAGCACTCTATTTCATCAAAACAGTTGAGATCTTCAGGAGGCAGGCTGCTTCAATCCTGCCTGACAGGACCAACCTTGGAATCACCAAATGCATGAGGAAAGGCATGACAACAGAGGCAGGAGCAAAAATTGTTTTTCCATAGCCTAACAGATGTTCTTTCCATATGACAAATTGTACTCCTCATCCACACACTCCCTGACCTCAAGCCTGCTCCTATTTTATTTTGAAAAACCTACAGCAGCAATATGCAACTTATAAACACTTGAAGTGTTGAACTATTGAGAAATAGGCCACATTACAAACTTTTAGTTGATTCAGCCACTTGTGCTACCATAAAAATTTGTACTCAAACCTCATGACTTCCAAATTTTATGCAACAAAAAATGTGACTCACAAATGCAGCAATATTCACCTATATCTTGACAAGGAGTAAAAGAAACAAATCTGTATCACAGATAAATAAATTAATTTTGAGTACATTTGATTCAAAAAGGGAAAATGGTACTCTTTATGCAAAATGTATTAGTCTTTCCTATTATTTTACAAAGAACATTTCTGACACAAGTTTCAGAATCTCTCTCATTTAAAGTTTGTTTCTCAATATGTTCTTAAAGCTCTGAGTCAAACAAACAAAAAATATGCAGTGCCTACAAGTCAGAAATTTGTTTTTAAGCTGCTGGAAAACAAAAGTAGTATTTGCAATTATGATACATAAGTATAAGTAATCCTATTGTCAACCACTTGATTTATTTTTAGTTACACACCCCAGGCAGTGGAGGATATTTGGTAGCAATATAGGCCTAATAATGGTGGAACATAATGATAAATGCTCATTTTTCCTCATTTTTCATCAAAAACAAAAGCATAAGACTGTTTTGATGAAGTTCAAATTCAAAGAAAGAATTATTAAAAAAGAATGAAGTGTAATGGCATATCAGTGTGAGTAAAGACACACATTTTATGAAAGCCATAAGTACCAACAGTGGTGCATTTACAATCTGAGCCAAGCTGCAAATACTGTGGTGCCATATGATTTTGTAAACTTGCTGAAACAGAACTTAAGAGAGTATTCCTTGAGATCCCTCAGAGACTGGTGCTTCAAAAGAAAGAAATTATGGAACTAAAATTTCTCTTCTTACCTAACAACCCCCAGCCCAACTTTTATGCTCTGACTAGTCTGAAACAAGCTCTGCTGAGCAAATACCAATATTCAAAGACTTCAAATCTGCAAATAACCAGTGGAGTTTACAGTCAAAGGTGTAGTGCAGTCGTGGAGAGATTACAACACTTCAACAAACAAGTAACTCATAAACAACGTCTGCATTTATTATTAGTGCAAACTGCAAACTTCTCTCTGGGGTGAGGAGCAAAGCTTTATGTGCAGTCACCTTCAGATTGATCTTCTTTTTTTGCAGACAAAAGGAGAGAAGTCACTTTTCTGGAAAGTAGCAATTTTGTCTGTTCTGAGGGCGACAGGAGACAAAACTAAACAAACTATTATGGTTATTACATTGAGAATTGAAGAACAAGGTAAAACTCTCAGACAGTATGGTGAATGAAAGCAAAAAGAGAAACAAAAACAAGACATATCTCCAAAGAAAAAGTTTTTAAGCTGATTAATGAATATGAACAGTATTTCGGGCTTTTGCTTCTCAATGGCAATCTTCATTGAAGACTAATGTTTTAAACAAGAGATTTTTAATAGATCAAAGAACAAAGAGGCAGAAAAAAAGGAGCATAAACAAAGAAAACTGAGACAGCATTTCTCACTGACATCTAGACATGGGTTCACATAACAGCAATTTGAATGACAAGAATTGCCTTACATTAAGGACTTGCATCTTACTTATTGTTTCCAGGATCTTTCACTTTTAAAGTTAGCTTGTGAGTTCCCTTGTCACCAACAAAACCTCTCTTTAAAAATAATTATTACTGGAAGAGAACCGACAACAAAGTGTGCATCTGCATGCATTTCTGGGATCTGAAACTGAGACAATTGGTTAGAAAAAGATCCCTTAAAAAATAAGTGAGAAAAAGTTTGGCTTTTAAAAAATCTTATCTTTTCATTGAATACAAAAGAGAAATCTGGTTACAAAGTCACTCATATTACAAAGCATAAAGATTTGAGAAAAAACAAACAAACGTGAGATTTGCTTATTATCATAATTTATAATGAACTATGCAGATAATATTCAAAGCTTGCAATATTTTTTTAAAAGTCAGAAAAACACAAATAAGCTCTTCATTTGATGAAACTTTCACAAACCATTATAGCTATGAGTTGTTAAAGCCTCACTTGAAACAGTATATACTGGGAGTTACCAAGAGAGTATAGCTAAATCAAACTATACATTTGTGCACGAAATAATGCCAGAAAATCTTACAATTTGCTACGCCCTGTACATCTTCTTCATCTGGGTCATGGTCGGGTTCTTGACAACATAATTATCACAACAAGTGGATCAGCACAGAGATATACGTAAATCACATACAATAGGGAATTTGAGGAAATTTATCTAATCACTACCTTAGAATTACAAAGTTCTGTCTGACATTTATGGAACTCTTGAGTTACTGAGACCATGAGGTCAAAAACCCAAAATCATAAAATTATTCCGTGTACTTATCAAGATATCTAAAAATTGCATTTGAAAAAGCCAGAAATATTATGAAACTCAGAATTTTTTAAGTCAGTTTTCTGAAAATTAGGTACAGCGCAGATAGAACTTTGTAATTCATCCTGATTTAACCCTCTGTCTCCCAATTCATTTTCTTGTTCCTTTTAATATGTTTCTGTCTACATTTAAAAAGACACAAGTTGTCTAAAACTACTCAATAGTAAATTTACTTTGCATTACCCACTTCACCTTCATTTGGCATACAGATAGGCCTACAAGAAAACTTTCCACAAAAAATGCACAAACAGTTCTTCATAATTTGCTAATTTTAAAATTTAGAATTATATTTACTCTACAAAAGTAAAATGAAGTGTCTTTCACAATTTGAAACTTTGTCAATACTACATGTGGGCCTATCTCACTTTTCAGTCACAAATGCGACTATTTCATAATCACAAAAATATGTGAGTGTTATCATAACCAACACAGACCTTCCCCCTTCCCCATCACCCCCTCCTCTCCGTCCCCCTCCTTTCCCCTCCCCTCCCCCATCTCTCTCTCACAAACATACAGGGGGATTTTCTGCATTTGTGACAAGAAACAAAACAGGGAGTAACTTCAACTACTAGCTCTAAAGATTCCACATGGATATAATATAACACATAATATCAAGTGTCGATACATTTGCAACAAAGTGGAAAGTAGAGGAAGGAAAAGGTTACAACACTGAAGTGCTCATAAGCATGCTTTACAACAACATAAGAAAAAAAGCAGGCAGTCTAGCACATCGGCCCTAAAAAAATTTACGTACAATGGAGCCCACATAAATTTTTATCGAACACGTATAATCCACAAAGAGCGATAAACCGAAAGAAAATAAAATCCCTGGGCTTTTTTAATCTAAGCTGTTTCAGGCATCTCTCTAAACCGAAAACACAGCTAAACCAAAGTAAATCTGGCGGTCCTACAAATTTGAGTGTTAAGCCGACTCCACGATATTTTGAAAACTTTTAAATACAGCTTTATGTAGTTTCATGGAGGAAACATTATAAAAAGAATATCCTGAACCTGGCAAAATTTTCTATCGCTTGCAATTCACTCTTTTCGAGAAACTTGCTGATACATGATCGTAACTAACGACAAAGATATTCTTATAAATCAGAGTCACAGAGATGTTAATAAACAGAGGAGAAGATTGGTTACTTGGATTATGCACAGTAATGACGAGATTGCTGCCCTGAAATGATACTGTCTTAAGTCCAAAAACTGTTGTTTTTTTCATACAACCTAAAAAATGTCTGACCAGGCACGTTTTTTAGTACATTCTTCCAATTACCACAAAAATTTTTATAAGAAAATGATTTAATTATCATGACGATGTGATAAGCATTGTTCTGCTGATCATAGTGATTTAAATAGGTAAAACTCATTGAATCTTTATTTACATCAGGGTTGAATCTACGAGCAACCAAACATTTCAGGCCAGGCTAGTCCATAATTAATGTCTTCAGACTTTTCACGTCACAACATTACTAGAAAATAACTGAAGACAAATCTTCACTCTTTATCTCCGGAGGGGGTTTTCCTACTATGCCAGTGCCCTTTTTTGGTACGAAACCTAAAAGTGACATACTCGTCATTAAATTGGTCATTAACCAAAACAAAATAACCTATTGTGCTAGTACTTCATTGAATGAAAGAATTCCCAGAAAAAAGGTTTCTGTCTGCAGCAGTTGCAAAAATAAGCTGCTGCCAGCGGCTCACCAGCACAGCCGTTCTGAGCACAAGCTGCTAGGAGCGACAGGGGAGATGGAAGGAGATAACAAACAACATCACAAAAAAACAACACTTCATTACATTTCCCAGGAAAGGATCAGTTTTCGTACTTATATCATGCAAAAATCTCTACGCCCCACATAAGACAATGTGAGTGAATGAACCTACCTAAGGCCCGCACCTGCTCTGCAGTAGGCTTGCCCAGTGAGGACATACGTTCCAGTAAAGGTTGGATGGTTGCCATATCACCTTTCCATCCCATTGTTGGTTTCTCATCTTCTGATATCCAAAAGCGTTCATGATCTACAAACAAACAAGTGAGGAAATGTAGGTGGGGGAGGAGTGGAGTATGAGTATTACAGCACTTGCACCACAAATAGGTCATATAGGTGCCAAAGATTAGAGGTGTTTCAAGACAAAACCATATAAAGAAAAGAAGGAGGAGAGATAAGAAGGATTGATGTTTGATAGGAGAGAAGGAGCAAGGCAAACCTTACACCTGCCAACCACTCACGAGAAAAGTGTTAGGAACACAAAACCACGGTAAAAAAAAATTTTTTTAATGTACTAAACTTGGGAGGTACAGAATGCAAGCAAGAAGGAAAATAAAAGTATAACATTATAATTTAGACTGGACTTCTCACCAACTACCCTTTCTGGTTCTGAATTTAAAGCCGCCTAAGCTTCCAACAATTTAAAACTAAGACATGTGTCACGATACGGTGGAATCAGGCGCTCATCAATTTAGGGGCATATGGAGATATTGGTATCATCTTAAAGCCTGTCCATTTGTTTTGCTTTTTGTTGTTACTTGGAACATAAAACAAAGATTTTACACTACTAACCTTCTGTCACATGCCACTATAACAGGAATTAGCCAAACCTGTTCCTCTGCTCTGTGTTGTGATTCCTTCCGCAGCTTTGGGGCCCCATGCATTGGATTGAAATCTCACACTTCACGCACAACTGAACTGAGGCTCTAACTAGCCTTTCTCACAATCTATACTGTCAGCAGGCCTCCTCAGCCTTGATACAACTCTCTCCTCTCCAACTCCCACCAGTAGTAACTCAGACTTTTATCAACTTGCAAACAATACAACTGAACACAGACTCACACTTTACTCACTCTCACACTTTCAGCCAAACAATACAATAGGCTAGGCCTAACCCCCTGTCACAACCAAAAACAACCAAATACACCACACTTTTGAAGAAAAAAATATCCATTTATCTTGAATACAAGTCAAGACATTGGCGATTGAAGGAGGTGGGGGTCGCCTGGTTTCAGAGGGACGCCTGATTTTACCACGATGCCTGATGGAATGTAGCATCTTGCAGAGCTTCTAAGAAAATGGCAAATGACGCTAAATTCAAATCCAGGAAATTTGCTTGTATGCACAAGATCTTCCAAATAAAATACAAATCTTTCACAATTACAGATAGAGCGATTTTTAAAAATAAAGCTTTGCTAATCAACATACACTTTATGACAATAGTTATATTTTTTAAGCCATCTACACTTTGACTTTACTTTAACAATCAAGAAGCTATCTGAGATCTAGCCCTTCGGCATGGAGCCATCTACACAAAACCATTTATTCTCACTTACCACTGTAAAAATTGAAACACTCATCCCTCAGAAGGTGAACAATGACTTTGTTCAAGAGCAGCAGCAAGGAGCTCTTCGGATAATCCTTCCAATCCTCCAAAGCTTTACATCTCAGATACTGACCCCAACCTTGCTGTATGGGGAAAAAAGAGACGAAAAAAAATTTGATTACTTTCAGTATACTAAAGAAAAGCAAACTCACAATACTTAAAAATCAATGTATATATCTAATACTAATACTAATATACACAATTTCTATTTTTTAAAAAGAAAATAAGCTTGGAACTTTTAATTTTGGTATTCATTTTTCTGATATTAAGGAAACAGACAGATCGACAAACAGACAGGCAGACAGATGGACGGGTGGACAGACGGACGGACAGACGGACCGACAGATGGACAGATGGACAGACAGACAGACAGACAGACAGACAGACAGACAGACAGACAGACAGACAGACAGTTACAACAAATACTTCAAGTAAAAATTAAGGAAGAAACCTAACAATTAACACCACAAAGGTAAGTAACTTACTTGACAGTAAGTGATCAGATGTCTCAAGATAGACGCCTCTGCATCCGTGGCATCACCAAGGCACTGTAAACAGAGATGAGATGAGATGAGATGAGATGAGATGGCATCTTATTGATCTCGACAAAGAGAAGTAAATTGAATTATACATACACGCACATGCACATGTCAAAACACACATGCATACACATGCACACATACACACACACATACACACACACGCACACACACATACACATACACAAACACACACGCGCACACGCAAATGCACACACACACACACACACACACACACACACACACACACACACACACACACATATAGATGTGAGGCATGCTGACAAAATGAGTTCCTTCTCGCAATCCGAGAATGGAGATATCGGCCGAAAATCGGCAAAGGGGTCAGATTTATAGATTTTTATTTGATGCAATTTTCTTCAAGTCTACCATATCTTCTATTATTCCATACTTACAAATTGTACAAACTTCCACCTTAAATAAAGTTAATATATCAATTTCCATAAGGCTAAAATCTGAGAAGTAACTCATTTTGTCAGCACAACTCACATACACAAATGCACACACATGCTTGGACATACAAAATTATGCTCTTCTCACACAGATGACAATAAACAGCTCTGGTTGATGATAATATAAATTATTTTTGTTTTGCCTGTAGGCTCTTCCTTTTTTAAATAATAACATGTTTTACAGAACGGGAAATCAAAGTAAAACCCTCTCCTGACCCGTTTTTATATACATCCACAATCACAGCCAACTGTTTTGTGTTCTTGTAAGACATAGCACAAACCCCACTGTAGTTGTGGCCGCTAATTGATACCAGTACTCAGTACAGTCAAACCTGTGTAAGACGGCCACCCATTGTCAAGGAGAAAAGTGGCCGTATAAGGCAGGTGGCCGTCTTAGGCAGGACTGATCAAGATGAAGAAAACAAACCATTCCCATCGGAGGTCCCAATCGAAAATAGCCGCATTGTTTTTGTTTTTGTTGTTGGTGGTGGTGGTTTGTATTTTGTTTTTAATTTTTATTTGTTGCTGATTTTGCACAAGGGTGACAATAAAACGAAATGTATCAGACGAGGAAGACCGAGTGCCATGTTAAAACAAACACATGGGTCTCCACCACTTGGAGAACGAGCAACGCTTCTATCACAAGTTCATGTTGACGTCCTTTGTTACTTTGTTACAGACTGGGTAAACAGTGACCACTCATCTCACTTACGATTAGTGTAAGAGTTCTGGGCGGGGCTTATGGGTTTTGAGGGATCCCACGCTTACCTCACCAACAACTGAAAATTAGTAGCTATTGGTCAACAGTGGGAGGGGCCTACGCAACATGATCGGTTGGAGGGACTACATAACAACAACGACAGGTGATTGAATTATGACGGCTCGCCCACAACGCCAGGGGCCAGTGCACAATTTATGACAAAACGTAATGGAGTCACAAAGGTGGCCGTCTAAGACAGGATTTATTGCTTAGTGTGATAGGGGTTGTGTGTTAAAATATGGTGGCCGCGGCCGCGTTGAACAGGTGCCCGTTTTACACAGTTAAATTATATAGAAAAAACGCAAGGGGGAAATGGAAAGTGGCCGTTTGTGCAGGTGACCGTCTTATAGAGGTGGCCGTCAGGGCAGGTTTGACTGTACTAGTTAAGAACGACCCCCTTAGTAAGTACGTAGACATTTTTGCCGCTTAGTCGGTACTAATTAATACTCAAGTTTTGGAATGTTGAGATACTTTTTGTTTACTAAAAAGCACTGAAAATGCTGCTGACCGAAAAACTGTTGTCTGTAATAAATATACAAAGACATGCAACCAATTTCCCTGGTGGAAGTTGGGAGATTCCATGAGTTCATAAAAGCAGTTGATCCCCAAAAATTCAGAAGGCAACTTTTGAGGGTTCAGCTAAAAAAAGAAAAAAAAAGAGAAAAAAAGAAGCCTTGACACCCCCCCCCTCCCCCCAAAAAAGCCAAAATCAGATAAAGTTTACTTTTAAAAAAACAGCAGTAAAAACACAGCTCAGGCTAATGCATGCAGGCTTACTACTGCATTTTGTGGCCTTTTATTGTCAAAAGTGATTGGCAGTAAGAAACTTTTGTTACATCCCCTTGCTTAATCTTAGTAAGTACTGAGTACTTATTGATATTGGGCTCTCGAGATCTTAGTCGATAAAGTCCTCGATATTCGCCAGTCAACAAGCACTCACCCTTACCCCACTGTGACCCCTAGAGTGACCCCAGACCTGTGCAGCACTAGGTTAAGCCTGTCCACAAAAGGGGAGAGAACAACTTTACTTTTATGTCACAATATGTCAAACAGCAAAGCATGAAAAATATAAATGAAATTGCAGTTTATAGTTACATTGCAGTAGAGATTCCACAGTGTCCTAACAGTCAGGAATTTTCTCAGATCCACACCATTATCCAGAAACAGCTCCACAAAGTCTGCCCTGTCTTGTACCAAAGCCGTGAACATGGCGTCATAAAGGTCCTTGATCTATGCACACACATACACACACAGACAGGAAGCAAAAAGAGAAAGCAAAATCATGAGAAAAAAAACAAATTTATGGATCTCCAGAGGGAATTTGTTTTACAATGATAAGAGAACAAACAATAAACAAAGAACATGTTTTTAACAACACTCTTTTAGCTCTAGTTGTCTCAGAGTGGTGCCCTGCTTTTTTTAGCTAGAGTTAATATGTTATGTCTAAATTAAGGACACAGCCCACTGACCATCCATCTAAAAGCCAGAACATAAGTTTACATTTCATGATGTGGCATCGGTAGTCTAATGGTTAGAATATCTAGTATCTGGAGGTGTCATCTGTGACTCAGAGGTTGACGTGTAGTGACCCTCCATCCTTCACGGTCTCCAGATGGCTGCCGTCGCACATTCCGCCATACTCAGGCCAGTCCATGTTCTTATGTTGTCCATCCATGTTATTCTTTGTCTTCCCCGGGCTCTCCTGCCCCGCATCTTTCCTTCTAGCACCTCTTTCACATTGGTCTCGTATCGTTTTAAGTGGCCATAGTATTTTATTCAGCAGGGGTTGTCTTGTGTGAAGAATCTGACATACCTTGTTGTTTGTCTTTTGGTTAGACTATATCAAACTCGTAATATTATGAGAGGTTGTGGGTTCTTGGGCTGAAGCCTCAGACCTGACATTGTGTCCTTGAGAAAGTCGTTTTAAACAAATTTTCCTCACTTCACCCAAATGTGAATGCGTACCCGTCTTTAAACAATGAAAGATCTTGTCAGAATGTTTTAGCATCTTTAAAGTGCCAGCTTGCACTGCATGCTTCCCAAGAAGTTGAGATTGTTTCAGAATGCTATCAGGTTTGCAGAGGTAATAATATAGATTGTAAAACGTATAGAGCTTTCTGTTGAGCAGAAATTTGCGCTATACAAATGCTATCTATTATTATTTACATTTCATGACATTTTTGTGCACTAACCACTAAACTAGCGGGGCCCTTTAACATACAAGAGATGCTTCATCCTTAAAGAAACAATTGATAAAATAGTACTTTGTTCTCCAGACTATGCACACCAGCTCCTCCTAACCAATTTTAGGCATGCACACATTGTATCTCACGAGCAGAGAATTTTGCTGGAGATTAATTAAAGCAGACAGGCATGAACTTGTTTTAGAGCACTTTGTGGATTCTAATTAACCAACAAGCTGCCAGAGCCCAACATTGTCCAGTCCCCCCTCCCCCCCTCCCGGTTCTATCCTACCCACATCCTGAGCCCCCCCCCCCCCCCTCTCTCTCCTCCACCCCCCAAAAAAAACATGTTAACATCGCTTAAAGATTTTCACTAAAAAGCTACAAATAGCACCTACCTCCCACCGACTTCTGTTTTCTCTGGTGAATATCTGCTGCCTGGCAATGTCACATCTGTTCCAGGCAAGAGCCAAGGCAAGCTGAGACTTACACTTGGATTTGTTGGCTGCAAAAAAAAACATGCAAATATATAGATGATTTAAGCCCCTATCGACACAGTTTATATAATTTTGGTGGTACGCTGTTTTAAACCCTGCCTGTCAGGGACCCAGGGCTGAGAGGGATGCAACATCCTAGCAAACAGATTTGTGAGGCGTGCTGACAAAATAAGCTTTTTCTCGCAATCCACAAATGGAGATTTTTGTTCAACAATCTACACTAAGGTCAAATTTGCAGATTTTCTATTGAGGCCACATGTGTCATGGGCATGTGGAGTTATTGGTATCATCTGAAAGCTGATTTATTTGCCTTGCTTCCAATGAAACAAATATCCATTTATCCTGAATAGAGGTCAAGATATTTGCGATTGAAGGAAGTGAGGTCGCCTGGTTTCAGTGGTGAAATTAGCAAGAATATGGTCGCCAAAGTTGAGTAAATGCAATAGCTAAAGAGTCTTTGAAAACTGAAAAATGGCACATTTTGTGCCTTTATTCAATGTGTTTCAGTAAAATTCACATGGAAATGTGTTTTTATACGGACATAAATGAGGTTGAGCCAAAAATTAAAATTTCTATAAAAATTTCCAAACTGGAGGAAAAATGCCAGTTTCTCCAATTCCTGTATTTTGACAAGAATTCGAGAAATAACTCATTTTGTCAGCACGCTTAACAGACGGAGACCCAATAAAAGTTCTCCCCCCATAGGAATCAACTCTTATCTTTTGCGTGATAGTGAAGCGCCTGGCCACTACACCACAGACACTGCTTTTTTAAAAATAGTTTTTGGTAAGTGTTTAACGGCGCTCGCAACTGCATACGGTCATATGAGCGTGCGGGACACATTAAACATTTTCAGTTGGTAGGAAATTTTGAATTTTGCCTGAGGGCGGCCGAAGCCTACTCTTATCGATTTTGGACCACCAAAGGATCTCGAACGTGTGCAACTTGCATACGGGACCTCCGAGATTTTTTGCCCTTGTCCAAGAAGGCTAGGTGTAGATCTTTCCTACCATAAGATCAGGGGTGAGGCTGAACGACAGCAGTAAGAAGGAGCCAAGAAGAAGCAGTAGAAAGGCTGCGGAAAGAGTCAGGAGCCCAAATGAGGGGGCAAAGGAGGTGAGGGGATGGGGGCAGAAAGTGGAGACGAAAGCAGACCACAGAACACTGCTAGAAAGCAGGAAAGGAGGTGAAAGGAGACAGTTTTAGAGCAGAAAATTTTTCGGTCGCTACCCGGATTCAAACCCGGGACCTTTGAAGGAGAGGCGAACACCTTAACCTCTAGGCCACGAGAGCCCTCTGACACTGCTTTGAGCCTGCCTGTCAGGGTTTGCATAGGCTAGGAGGCATACAGTACCCCACAGGAAAAACAGAGGTTCAAGACAGAATAGACTTCGCAACAACATGAAAAGTGAACTCATGCTTTTTTAAAGCAACAGCAAAGAGCCAAATTGTTACACCATTGATGTTGGAGTCTATAGTCTCGTGGTTAGGCCACTGGACACATAATTGTGAGATTGCAGGTTCGGGGGGTCTGAGGCTCAGCTCAGATGACAGTGTGTTGTTAGAAATGGCCCTCTACAAATATTTTCCCATTTGGCTCCGTCCTATCGGACAAAGGATAAAATCAGAGATTCCACCATTTAAATAACCTTACAGTGTAGCAAGGGGCATTAAACCTATGCAATTTCACATTTTTGGATCCTATTTATAAAAAATAATTTTGAGTGCAAGACTCAAACTCAGGCTCAGTATTTAGAGATAGCCATTTAACAACTATGTCTCTGAAGCCCTTTCACTTCAAAGAATCAGAAAAATTAAGACCCTTCACATTTTTCTTTGCAAGGGGCACTGACCTTTCAACACAGACCATTCATGTGTTTCTCTACAAGGGTCACTTACCTTTCAATAAAGCAAAAAGCAAGGCACGATCAATATCTTTCACTGAATCTGACTTCTCCAGGTCATATACGTTGATCTGAAACGATGATCAAATTGTAAAACTAGAGATGAAGTCCTAGAGAAGCATCATATTTCTCATATTAACATGAATCACTTTAAAAACATGAGTATTTGTCCAGATTGACTCTTAAAGCAAGTAAAAGTTTTACACAATAACATTTTCCAAACAGATGCTCAAAATCCTATGTTTAAAGAGTTTTAAAATGTCCATTTCTTACAAAACAATATTTCATCATGTGTTAAATCAATTAAAAGTTTGTTCAACATATGTGTCAAAAGATCTGTATTCCTTTTTAAAGGCAATCCCCCCCCAAAAAAGAAGACTCAATCACACACATGTTACCAGTAGGTATAAATAATCTTATTCAAAGTCCACAAAACTCTCCACGGGGTCCAATACATTATTTCAGATAGCACTCCCATGCTTATTTCAACTTACAGAAAACAAACACCTTCACTGATAACAATCTGTAACTTGCATAGGTAAAGACAAGAAACCTGAATCCCTTTCAGATTAAAACACTCAGACTTAAAGCAAAATGTCAGATGACTCAGGCTGACGTGAAATGACAAAGAAATATTCACTTTTCTCTTTCAAATCTGATATCCTCAAAGTGGTTTGTGTAGTTCTAAACTGAATCTGCTACTACTCATTAAACTATTTATAGCACACACAATAGATAAATATGTGGGTGGTTGGCGGGTGCTCTGGTGGGGTTTGCTCCTTCTTTCCTATCCAACATATATCATCCTTATTTCCCCTCTTTCTTTTTTGTGTTTATTTCTCTCTTGTAACACCTTCAATCTTCGGCACTTAAATGAATTATTGTGTTGCAAGTGCCGTAAAATTCTTACTTTAAAAAAAAAGATAACCATGTGTTTGTGTGTATGCATGCCATCAGACCCCAAAGAAGTCACCAAGTAAACTTTTAAATACCTTTGTGATATCCCTCACCCTTTAAAAGAAAAACACTTAAACTTTCCAAAAAAGGTATATTACCAGGTTTCGTCTCTTCAAGCACTGCTTTAGAAAGTAAATGCAGCTCTGCAGCTTTTTCTCTTTGCCAGTATCATTTTCTTTCCAGGTGAACATTCTCTCTGCAGCCAGATGCATCACAGAATCAAAATCATGGGGCATTCTCGACGAGTCTTCACTGAAACCACAAACAAAAACATTACAAGATCTCATCTCACAATTTCACAGAAACTTATGAAACAATATAAATCTATAGGAGTCAAGTCCAAAGATAAGCAGACAAACACATTGATCTAGGAGAGGTAAAAGAACAGAATCTGCCTTATTCATTGCCTAACCATTTATATGATGAATATGTACATGACATAATATTGGAAAAATATTCTTTCAGTCTAAAGAAATCCAAAAGAAACGTAGCCTAATCTTCATTTCTTCATCTCTAAAAAGGTTTCAAAAACTAAGACAAGACAAAGAAACCAGAGCAGAAACATTTCAAACACTAAAAAAAATCATTGACAGAGAAACACTCATAGGTAGAGGTACTGATTCACAAAAAACAAGAAGCACAAACACACGGAAAAAAATTTTGAATCAAAATACAAATTGCCAAAAGACCGGCACAATTGCTCACTTTGCCGGGTTTCGGGTGAGGTTGTATGCCAAGCTGATGTAGTCTGCAGCTCTTCCTGAACCGTTGATCACAACCACTGGGGTGTGACGGTTTAAAGACTCAAACACCGTCTCCATCGTGCCAACACCTCCCTCAACCACAATGAGCACCACAGGAACAGAAATCACTGAGGAAAAGAATTCAAGAGATAAATCGTGTAAATTCATTTTGGGAAATCACAAATACAGTTGAAATTGTCCCGGACGGCCACCCACTGTCAAGGAAAACAGTGGTTGTGTTTGGCAGATGGATGTTTTAGACAGTTTCATTATAATATTCAAAAAACACCATGGGGGGGGGGGGGGGAGAAGTTGTCATCTGTACAGGTGATCATTTTGGACAGATGGCCAATAGATCAGGTTCGACTGTATTTGTGTTTTTCTTTTAGTTTGAGTAAAGAGAAGCACATCGACACAATATTGGTCAGACAAACACATCTGATGGAAAGAAAAAGATAGGACCTAACATTAGTGCTCTCCGACCACCAGCATAATTTCTTTTAATGAGATTAAAAACACACAAATTCACAGCTTTTAGAAAGTGAGTGGGATTTTTGTTGCTGCTTGAATGTCGTGTGTATGCTAAAGGGTTACTAGTGGTTTACATAAGAGGGACGTAGTGTACCCACTATTTTTTTGTTCTCCAGAACATACGAGTCTTTCAAAAGACAGGAGCAAATCCATTCATAGGGTACTATTGCTCTCATTGAGAACAACTGTTCTGTAGTTTGGCAGTTTGTATCGCTATTTCAGCAACTACGCAGCTTTTAGTTATGTGTATTACAGGATGACTTTGGATTTACAATAACAGCCACAGATCACAAATTCATTCGAACTATAGGTTAAACCAGACACTCATCTCTATCTTTCAGACTATTACCTCCCTTTTAGATTATTTTACAGAGACATACAACCAAATTTACCTGGGAGTGCATATTATTGTGTGTTAAAGTTTATTAGTGTATTTACATTCCAATAAAAATAATAGTTATGCTGTGTGTGGTGTATAAATGTAATTATTGAAACAAAATCATAAACAAAAACAAACATGACAGCGATAGATATAGCGAGAAAATTAAAACCAAAGGTATTAAACACCAAAGATCGATAAATCTGAAGTTCAAAACAGCCGTTGGAAGAAAAATTCAAGGGAAATAATCCCAGTACCCAACCTCAATGTAGTTGTTCCTCATGGCGCTAGGCGAAGTGAGAGACAGACAGTATCCTATTCACTTCAGTGCTTATCATATAAGGTTATCAATAGTATCGGGAGATTGATGCCTCGTACTATTGTGTGAATGTGCGTAACGTTACAAAACATCATCGGGTTCATCATTGCTAGGTCAAAACTAACCACAGGGGAAACATCGTTAAAACCGTTATATTTTTATTACTAACTATATGGGCCAGGAATAAGAATACGCATCACCATAGCCGTCACGATGGATGTAGTGAATTCGGTACAACCGTTTCAATTTGATTGAGTTTGCGTTACATCGGGGCCCGTTCCACGAAAAAAGATCGTTAAGTCCAAAGATCTTTACAACCGACTTCGCTACAAGTGGAGTGGACTGTATTGTAAAATGTGGAGATCAGATGATGCAGTTTTTTGTGCAGTGAAAGAAAACACATGAAAAATATACTCACCAAATGAGGTCAAGGGAGCTTGAAAAATGATCCAAAAACAAACAAATATGTCACACTGTCACTTTCATCTGCTTCCATTCCAGCTCGTATATTACATAGACTATTATAGTAAATAGACAAGTACTAACTTCAACTATGAGTTGCTACCTGAACTATTGTGCGAGATTTCATTGGTTGATTTAAGAGAGACAGTGTTTGCTCGCAGAGATGGTGTAATCTGCAAGAGCTTTAAATTCAAATTTGCGAAGCGTGCTGACAAAATGGGTTACTTCTCAGATTCAAGCCTTATGGAAATAGATCCATCATACTTATAGGTGAAGTTTTACAATTTGTAAGTATTAAGTAATAAAAGGCACGCTAAAGTTAAAGAATATGGCACCAATAGAAATTCTACAAATTTGACCCTAGCCTCGATTTTTGGCCAATACCTCCATTCATGGATTGCGAGAAGTCAATTTTTTTGTCAGCACACCTCATAATTAATTCCATTCTCTGCAAGCTGTCCACGATGCCTCATGCTTGGGTCTCAAGTTTTGCTACAGTTTGGTGGATGTTTTCTGCGCCCTGCTCCCCTAGCAAGCCTAGGCCAGAGCCACGTTGCTTGATGAATGTGATGCAAAGATGCCCCAGAAAATGTTGTTGTGGAATGGTTTTGTTTGGAAAGTGTCTTCTATATAAAACCATGTAAGAGTCAATTTTTGTCTGGAGTGAAGGAAGCAAATCTTTCTCGATGGGTAGGGTGTGTGAAATGGTTTCAAGAACTTAGCTGAAAGCATGATAGAGGGAATTAAATACGTTTTTGGTCTTTACTTCTTTTTACTGTTATGTTTTAGTTCCCACAAGTGCAGCATAGTTCACCGAGAGAATAAGTACGTTGCTCATAGCTGTGCTCTATAGCTGAGTCGGGCCGCCGAGCGTACGGTTAAAATCTGTACTTTGCAATACACACTCACATTAATCCGAGCACAGGGTTAGAATGAAAGACGCTCCTGTTTTAACAGTCATACCACACGGAAACTTGGCTTTTAAGAAAATAACATGAGCAATCAACCCTAAAATTCACATTACTGTTGTTGAGATATATATACACACTTTTCAGAACTATTTGAGCGTAAATTTTGAGAATTTCTTCCTCAAATTAGAAGTATTAGAACACAAACCCTATTGGTCGTAGAAACAAGATGTTTTCACCACTGCAAGAACAAGAATGATACTTTGTCTTGTCTAAGCGTACGTTAGTGTAGAAGAGATTCTGATCTAGAAATTTCTAGACGAATGTTCCCTAGTATGTAGTTCTTCTGACTTTGAACAGGATCCACAACCGGATACTCAGGCCCAGTTCAAATGCCTAAGAGTTACCACAGTTCCCTCCACTCTGCCCTTCCCGTTATCGGACACCCTGTGGTCAAAAGTTCATGGCTCTCGCCTGTGCGGAGCTCATAACTAAGATAGCCAATATTGGGCAAAATGTGATGCAGTGAGTAGCACACCTTGACTCTCAGAAACTCCAGTTGTCCCAACTTTTGATATGTAGCTCTCCAGTTCGGAGCGAAACTTGATCTCCGCCCCATATTGGCCATCTGTACCATTGTCCACCAGGAGGAAGTGGGTGTGGTTCCGGTCGAGGGCAGAGGAGCCCCTAGGTGGATTCATCACGTCCTCAATGGCGTAAGTCACAGGCCACAATCCTTCGTCCTGAGGGTACAGAAAAAGACCATTGCAGATGAAATTGTCCAAGACGGCCAGCCATTGTCATGGAGAAAAGTGGTGTTTTAGACGGGTGGATGTTTGGGACAGTGCTATTATTTTTAATATTTTTTTTTTAATCAAGGGGTGGGGGGGGGGGTGAGTGGGAGAAATGCTTAATTGTACAGTTGATTGTCATGGACAGGTGGCCATTAGACAAGATTCAAAAGCAGCTATCTACACCTCTCTTTCATGGCAAAATTCCATTACGGCAGTCAACAAATCTAAAAACAAACCCAGACAGGTACAGGTAATACTTTAGGCCCACACCAGAATAAACCTCGCATTTCTTGTCACAAGTAGCCATAAGTACCCTTGCATCTCATGACTATCCTTTGTGAATGTTCAAAAATGTTCAATTAGATAACCAGCATCTGTTGTGTAGCAGTTAGGCACTGCCATGGTTGGCCGTAACTTTTCTTGATGGGAGTGTAAAAAACACCTCCATTAAAAAAAGGAGTCATCACTAAACACCTTCCTCTATGGAAGAAGACTGTCGGTAGTTGGTTTATTTTGGGAAAGTAATCGAGTACCTGTTTGACATTGAAAAAGAGAACAAGGGCAGGCCGAGGCGTGAGCCACGGACCGTGGAAGACAGACCTCAGGAGCATGAGTCGCAGTCGAGGCGCAAAAGATTTGTCGATTTGTCACCAGTCGGTGGAAGTTGGATCACTACAAGAGGTTGGTGTGTATAGTTAAACCACAAAGACTACTTTTATTTCCTACGATAGCAGAGGAAAAACATTGAATCAGGCTTCGTTATAAATGGTTTTCTAAAAAATCTTTGAAAAATCAGTTAACCTTTTGACTCTTTCTGTACTAAACGTCAATATAGTCAATATATCGGTGCCCTTCTTTACACCTTTTGACCATGTACTGATAATTTGTGATAAAAAAGGGTTAAGTTCTTGCCTCTTTAGTCTACAGGACTCAAGTGACCTCTCATCCTCAGGCATGAATCCAGTAAGTAGAAGAGTAAAGGTAGCTCAGGTCAGCAGAGTTAGAAAGAAGGTGGATGGTAGGTACTCTCGTGTAATTTGCTCCTTCTCTCCGATCAAACATCTATCATCCTCATTTCTCCTTTTTATGTGTGTTTGTTACTCTCTTGTAACACCTCTAATCTTTAGCACTTATATGAACTAATTGATATTTGCAAGTGCCATAAAACTCTTACTAAAACTAAAACAAAGAGCCAAAAAGTTTTAGTACAAAGACTCTCTTGTCCTTTTTAACTCCCAGTGGAGCATAGGCATCAACAACACTTCTCCTGTGAAGCCTGTCCCGTGCATCCTTTTCTAGCTGTTTCTATGATGTCCCCGCCTTTTCCATTTTAGCTTACACCGCTCCCTTTCATGTCATCTTTGGTCTTCCTTTCTTACGTTTTCCTTGTGGATTCCACGTCAAAGCCTGTCTGATGATGCTTGTCAGGGGTCTCCTCCTTTATTGGCCTTTAGCTTGTTCTTTCCCACTGTTGAGCATAGTACAAGGACACTCAGAAATATACTCACGTCCTCTCCATCCAGAACCAGTTTGTTGGCCACACAGCCCCAGGTGGCCACTCCGAGCGCCACACACTCCTCTCTGCCTCGGCCCGACACCGTGATGTGATCCCGCACCGCCTCCCCCACAAACTCCATCACACCCGTGGCAGTCCCACCAGTTATGATCCAAGCACCTGAGGGTAATATACAATAATAAAATAATAATAAATAGCATTTGTGTAGCACATATCCCTGCTCAAAAGCAAGCTCTATGTGCTTTACAATCTATATTATTACCCAAGGCAGATCCTAAAGCATTCTCAGCTTCCTGAGAAGCACACAGTGCAAGCAGCCAATTAAGCGCTTTAACACTAACAAACTTACAAAATCTTTCCATGTCTATAGCTGGGTACCCATTCCCACCTGGGTGGAGAGGAAACTTAGCATATGATAAAGTGCCTTTTCCAAGGACACACTATTGGGCCCCTGGCAAAGTTTGAACCCACAACTTTTCAGCTGCAAGCCCAACAGGAAGAATTGTATAATGGTTGGAGAAGTGTGATCACAATAAAGTAAGTATCTGAACTATTGATTTCATATATGAGCATTATGAGACAGTAGAGTAGAAACATATTTTAAAGTTAAAACACTGTTTGTGTTACTGTTCTGAAAGAAGCCAAGCAAAAATACCATCAGGAAGCATCAGCCGAATGAGACAGAGTAAATAAAGAAAAAACAAAGAGTCTTAGATTGAATGTGACCAGGAAAAATAAGGTTTACATTGCTGGTCATTGATACAATAACTGCTAAAACAGGAATATATGTTCATACTTGTACGCCGTATGTCAACAAACAGGTTGCCGAGATAGATTTCTTCATTGCCAATGATACGCCTCTTTTTCATCGTTGTTATCAATACAAGTTGCTGTTGTTGCTATCGATCCAGCCTCTTTTTCATTAAACCATACAATACAAACAGTAACTATCACAGATTACAAAATGATTACAACCACACCTTGTCATTCTTTTAAAAAAATTTGTTACAACAGTTCAAAGCATACAAGAGAAAGAATGACTCACCAGTATTCACAGCAGCCCCTATCAATCCCTGTTTGAGTAATGAGCTGAGACGAGGCTTCAGCTCAAATCTTTGGGCTCCCCCAGTGACAGAGATGAGTAGTCTTGGCTTGGGCATTTTCCAGTAGTCAATCAAAAGTTCCCAAATCAAATCTGGTCGCGTCTTGTAGTCAATTCTAGCATACTGGAGAAAAGGAATAAATTCAATAATTCCATTTCAAAGGAGTCAGAAGCATATATGTGTCATGACACAGTGGAATCAGACCCTCGTGAATTCTTGAATTATTTATATCAGCTTAAAGCTTGTTCACTTTTCTTGCTTTTGATGAAAAAAATATCCATCTATCTTGAATAGAAGTCGAGACATTTGCGATCGAAAGTGGTGGGGGTCGCCTAGTTTCAGAGGTAAAATTAACGAGAAAATGGCCACCAAAGTCAGGTGAATCCTATAGCTTGAGAGTACTTGGAAACTGAAAAAGTACATTTTTTGTGCCTTTAATCATGTGTTTTTAAATAGACATAAAAGGTGTTGAGCAAGAAAAAAAAACTCCACCAAAAATGCCAAACTGGTGAAGAAATGCTGATTTCTTAAATTTCAATATTTTGACGAGCGTCTGATTTCACCACGCTGCCTTTCATATTATTATAGAAAAAATTTAGGAGCATTTCACTGTATCCAGCTTAACTGTTACTAGAGAGCCTTGAGAATGTTTTATAATCATTTCTGTTAAAATAATAATAATAATAATAGATAGCATTTATATAGCGCAAATCCCCGCTCAACAGCAAGCTTTATGCATTTCAGAAACTATACTACTACCCCAGCAGACCTGAGAGCATTCTGAAACAACCTCAACTTCCTGGGAAGCATACAGTGAAAGCAGCCATTTATAAGCATTAAAACACTAACATACTGACAAGATCTTTCGCTGTCTATGGGTGAAATGAGGGAACTTTGTGTAAAGTGCCTTTCCAAAGGACACAACGTTGGTCCCGCAGCTCAAACTCCCAAACCTGCAACCCCACAATTATGAGTCATGTAGCCTAATCACAGAGGGTGTGGTGGCGGAGCGGTTAGTGTGCTTGTCTCCGAAGCGGAAAGTCTGGGTTGGAGCCTCAGTTCGGACACATGTTTTTTCCGCCCCCTCCTGCCCACCCAGCAGTAATGGATACCTGCAGGAAGTTGTTTCACTAACAAGGCAATCCCAGATGTCCGGATCAGATGCGGGAACAACTTAACTTTAGCCTAACCACTAGGCCGCCGACACCACATCATCATCAGTGGGTATAGTACAGCCCTGGCTTATACTTTGACATCATATAGATATTGATTCACTGTTTTGTAATTCAATACATGTTCAAATGATCAAGATGCAATATAACATTTCCTGGAGGTGTCGTCTCTGACTCAGAGGTTGACGTTTAATGACACTCCAGCCTTCACGGTCGCGAGCTGCTGTTGCACATTCAGTCATACCAAGGCCACAATATAACATGTGCTATTTGTAAGAACAAGTACTTGATGAGTAAAACTTACCTTACTAACTCATTACATCAAAATCTAATATACAGACAGAAAGTAACAAAATAACTAAAATAGAATCATATACTCACAGGAGAGTTGGGTGTACTACTGCCAAAGCCTCGGAAGTGAATTTCTCCAAAAGAGTCACAAGGTTCTGTAAATGTATGGGTCTTTGGGTGCCAGATTTCTGCTTTTGCCTCTTTTGGCAGCACAGTCTTATCAGGGACAGGAATAGCTCTCTGCTGATGCCAGACTTTGTCCCGCCCACAGAAACATTTGTCACTGTGGAGGTCAGCCAAAGGACACAAACAAATAGTATTTTTGACAATATTCATAACTGATTGCATCCTGACCGTGTTAGGACACTTGACAGTTTCAAAAAACATCTTAAGCATTTTCTGTTCCTACAGGCCTACCCTTTATAAGCTTTTAGCGTCATTTTTTATTATAGTTGTTCTGTGCTTACGTCTAAATGAAAATAGTCTGTGAATGTATGTGTGTGTGTGTGTGTGTGTGTGTGTGTAAGTGTGTGTGTGTGTGTGTGTGTGTGTGTGTGTGTGTGTGTGTGTGTGTGTGGAAATATATATCGCATGAGAAGAAAGGAAGTTGTAAGAAAGGTTTTTAAAATGGTTATTCCAATGTAAAGCGCATTTAGCTACTTTTTTGGAAAGGCGCTATATAAATGTTATGTTATTATTATTATTATTATTTGGAAGGGCAGGATTCCAAGACGTTAAAGTGAAACTAAATTTATAAGTGGATACATAAATTCTCATGATATGCAATTCAAAGTATATGATATGTAAATACTGAAGTCCCACTAAATTTAAATACTCCAAAAACAACTCTACTCTTTTTTTGCTATGAACTGATACAACTGCCTTTTTTTCACACCATATAATCAGGTGCCGATAAATCATGGCACTGTAAAACAGTTCATCCATCTATACTAGTGCATGTCAACCTTTTTACAATCAATACCTACTTTTGGCAGCTTTAAGAAACTAAAATGTTCCACCTCCGTCTATTTTTAAGCAGGGTGTAAAATAAGATCTGTCACTGCCTGAGTGATTCCTATTGCCAATCAAAATTACCAAATCCCCCACAAGTGAGTGATGCTGCCCAGGTTGGCAAGCACTGCTCCATACAACTCGATCTGTATTATTAAGATCACCTTCTAATCAAGACCACCTCCAAATTAAGAACTGTTGACTCATAAATGCTACGCTACTCTGAGCAGAAAATAAAAATAATTAACTGATTCAGCAAGCAGATTATCTTGACTCCGGACGCAAATAGTTTGTGACCACCTCGTGACCTCAAGAGTGGTCTCACAAAAAGTTAATAAAGAAATATCTAAATTTGATAAAACCGTTGTGTGGCATATAGAAATGTTCAGAATTTTAAAAAATACTATTCAATGACACCAGAAAAAAGAGTTGAAATGTAGGTGGTAAGGAAAACAGAAGAGAGGAAAGAGACAAGAAGCAAGGGAACAATAATATAACAGCCGCCCTGAGGGGTTCTGTGTCAAAACACAGTTGACAGTCAGCCGCTGTGAGCAGTGCCGCGGGCTGAATCAGCTAAACATGAGCATAAAGAACAAAACAGTAAAGGAAAACAACATGGCCCAGTGTTTCAAAAGAACACACTTATCCCTTTTCCAATTTGAGTGCAATTTGTAAACATGTACCATGTGTCACGTCACGGTGGAATCGGCACTCAATTTTGGGGCATGTGGTGTTTTTCGTATCATCCTAAAGCTTGTTCATTTGTTTTGCTTTAGATGAAAAAATACCCATCTATGTTGAATAGAATTCAGTTGTTGTTTTTATAGTAAGGTTTTACTGCGCTCGCAACTGCATAAGGTCATATGAGCGCCAAGGGGTGGATGTCAACAGAGAAGTCCAAACGGGGAATCAGGCTTACTCTGCTCACCTCTCTACCTCAACAGCACAAAGTCTGCTTTGACTATCAAGGCACCCCGGAAATAGCAGTTCACAAGAAAGTGAACAACTTAAAAAAGAAGTAGAGGAAAAATTACGATAGCAAGGATGAGTAAAGAAAAGGCAGCAGTTCCCGCTATGTTGTTCCGGCACAGTATGAGTATGACATTTATAAATCAGGCATTTACAATTCTACAGTGAAAACAAGAACATGTTAATATCCCCCCCTTTGGGAATGGCCTAAAGACATTTCAGTCAGTAGCACTGCCCTGGCAGGGGGGGGGGGAATAGAATTAAAGATCTTTGCAAAAGAAGGCGATGGGGGTTACCTGGTTTCTGAGGTTAGCAAGAAAATGGACGCCAAGATTTGGTGACTTCCATAACTTGAGAGTCCTTGGAAACTCAAAATTCACATTTTTTAAAATCTCGTTAATCAATGTTTTTCGGTAAAATCCACACAGAAACATCATTTTACATGGACACAAGTGTCGATCGAAAAAAAATTTGAAAAAAAAGGCAATACGATCAGAAAAATGCCAATTTCTTTGATTTCATTATTTTGACAAGCGCCTTCTTTCAACACCATGCCTCATATATTTTACTTTCACTTCAGAGATGTAAACACCCTGTCCCACAGGACCATTGCCATAACTCTCAACAAAGACCTGCTGACTTGTCAGTAAAACATATAATTTGTGCTAATAGTCCCACCAGAAAATGCATGAATTCAGTTTGGTGTAAATGTTCTTTTTTTAATAAATGTAGGTGTTTTTTACACTCCATCGACAAAATTTATATAATTTCGGAGGCAGGCTTCCAGCACCACCTGCCAGGGCCAACCCAAGCTGAGAGGGATACAACATAGTATCCAAGCAGCAAGAGTCAATAAAAATTTCGTCCCCTCACGGGAATAGAACTCTTCTGCGTGAAACAGGGAAGTGCCTAACCGCACCACCACAGACTCCAGTACTCAGTTTTATGTGGTTACTTCAATGTATTACACGTGACATATATACCTGTTTGTTTTGCGATCCCATACAAATCTGTTGCATTCTCTCTGGAATATTGTGCTTGATATGAAGGCAGCTGTTTCACTCTAGGAAGATAAAAACAAAAGAAAATCAAATACGTATACATGGTTGAGCATTTTATAAATTGTGCTTTCACTTACAAACCCAGAGTTTAGACAACCAATGAAGTGGCTCATTACTGAAAGGTAATATATTTCTGAGTAATCTAGCCTGCAATACATTACATTTCCTTATTGTGAAAAAAAGTAAGGAAATACAAAACTATTGTGGAGAACAAGTGAAGAAAAGTTACTTCTTCCCTTCTTTTGAAGAAACTGGTGAGATCATCTTCTTTTTATTCCTCATCTTCCTCATCTTCCTCTTCTTCTTCTTCTTCTTCTTCTTCTTCTTCTTCTTCTTCTTCTTCTTCTTCACACACACACACACACATACAAACACGCACACACACACACAAACACACACACACACCACCTAATATCCTAACTCAGTGCCCCTCCCCCTTTCCCTATCATTGGGCCAACATCTTTCTTCTTTGTGCTTCAGAGGCATGCAGATTGGAGCAATGAGACTGCATGCAATTTCATGATCCAATGGTAATCCACATTCTACTTCTACATACACTTTGAAAGTTGCACCTTGTGACTATTGTGAAAAAGTTAAGATTTTCAAACATGCAAACTAGGACTTCTTTTTAAAAATGTGGACAGGAAAATTTAAAATAAAAGAGTAAACTTAAGGCAAAAAATTTTTGTCTAAACTTTCCCCCATATCAAAAGATTTCCAGGCAAAAATCAAACTTACACCCTATGAAAAAGAAAAAAAAGAACATACCTGGATCATCAATTTGCTGTCGTGTTTTTTCATGCCCACACGACTTTGAGGTCTCTTCATCAAAGGAATATCATTGAAACTGTCCTCAAGCTCGCTTGTCCCACTAGCAACAAGACCCCTGCTCTGTTCTAAACTTTGACCACTCGTAACTGACTCCTTACGATTCCTCAGAAAGTCAGCTTCAATATCTAAGAGCCCATCCTCATTCTTAACTGCAGAGGCAAGAGAGATAATTGCTGGGGCAGGAATTCCTGTGGTGGGTGATGAAGGAATTGGTTCTGATTTTGACACGGACGCTTTATTTTCAAGAACAGTCTCGGCGATACTGTCAGATGCAATTTGAGAGGGATATTTCTGGGCTAACTCCAGAGAATATAACGCTGCTGGAGACATGACCTGCCCATTTTCAGCACCCGACGAGTGAGTAGAGAGATGCTTTTTCTTCTTTGGGTCTTTTGATGACCTCCTGCGCTTCTTGGACCTTCTCTTACCAGAAGAAGTGTGCTCTTCATTGTAAGATTCAGCATCTGACAAATTGGTACTCCTTGTCGAAAACGTTGCGTTGTCAAAGTGGGACAAACGCTCACCCGAGGCAACGGAAAATACCGGGACGTCAGTTTGGGGCTCTGGCAGAGGGTCCACATGCTTTGTCCACCTATCACTGTCTGGTGACTGTCTTCCCTCAGACACATCAATGCTCCATGTGACACTTGACGGTTTCCCTACTCTTTTACGAGGCTTTTCTTGACCAGCACGTCGGTGGTGAGGAGGTATTCCACTTCCTGGACGAAGAGGAAGCTGTCCTTCATTATTGTTTAATTCCCCATCTCTGGTGTCTCCTGGCCAGCTCATGCTTCTGAAATCACTGGAAGTCAAACTGTTTAAATCATTCAAATTGTCAAGCTCTCTCTCTGACCCTACACTTGAAGCTGCTGAGAAATATTTTTTTGATGTCTCCTCTGCTTTTGGCATCTTTCAACATGGTCCCTGAAAAAAGACAGAAACATTTCATTCAGATTATATCAAATAAGCAAAACAAATCTACAGATATAAAATTATGTTCAACCTTCTCAAATATGCACCTGTCCAAGACAATCACCTGTATAAATGACCACTTCACACCCCCCACCCCTCTGCATATTTTCTATATATTATAATGACATCATCCAAGAGGACCACCTTTCTAAAACTATATACATATAATATATCCTGTCTGCAAGCTGTTCAAAGGTTTTATGAAAATTTTCAAAAGACTTTATTGCAGTTTCTAATTTGTGGTATCAGTTGTTATAATGTGCTCAAGAAATATTTCTTTCAAAATGTGAATTCTAAACATTGAAAAAGGACAACTATAGCATCCTAAACCCACACCACATCAAGACAGAACACACAAAAAACGGGATACACGCGATAAAAATTGGGAAAATCGAGATGCTTGAAATTTGGGGCAAAAAATCTGGATATTCCAATTAAATCCGAATGAGAGGCAGGTTTGGAAATAAACTACAGTCGAACCTGCCTTAACGGAAACCTGTGTAAAACGGAAACCTGTCTTAACGGAATATCCCCGCTCCCCCCTTGATATATTCCTCTTTAATTACCTGTATAAAACGGAAACCTGTCCAACGCGGAAACGGAAAGAAAAATCCGCTCTCTTCCGAGGGTTTCACTTGTCTAAGACGGAAAATGCTTTGCCCGCTCAGCCCTGATTTGAAACAAAACTCGCAAGTTTGATTCCGCCGGCTCTAAACTTAACGCCATGGCCATGCCGCTGGGCGAGGAAGGGGAGTAGGGGTGCAATGGGGGTAGAGTAGAAGTTACCCTATGTTACCCCATCATGTGAGCACTGAGCGCTACAGATGGTCAGTGTAGTGTGGGTGTGATATCTCACGACTGCCCGTGAGAGTGCTCGAGTAGCCAGCCACTACGGAAACTTTCCTGGGTAGCCAGAAGCCAGAGGTGTGAAATTAGATTGACCAATGCCTGCCGCCCTGATTGTACGGCCTGCTAAAAAAAGAGTTCCTCGAATCGTTGTTACAATGATGACAGTGAGGGGTGGCATTGGTGGGTGGGGCTAAGGGTGGAAGCAAAGGAGATGTTCAAACGTTTCTGTTTTGAATACGTCAAACAGTGGTCCTATGAAAGGCAAGCACTGGTGGTAATTGGATAAGTAAGACTGACACATGTCACTATCAGACAGGATAGCAGCTCAGAGGTGTGAAGTTTTGACCACTGCTTGCCGATCGGACAAGCGATCCTTGATCTCAACGGCTGGGCCTTTGAACCCCCCACCCCTAAATTCCCCTGTCTAAGACGGAATTTTTTTCCCGCTCCCTTGCGATTCCGTCTTACACAAGTTCGACTGTAATTCATTATTCTTCAGAGCCATCCCAAGGTTCAACTTCCACTCTTTCCAGACTTTCGATGGCGGACAATTCATGTTTACTAGATCTAGTGTGTTAAAGAAGGATGGGGGCAATCTCACGGCAGGGGTAAACTCAAGGCACGACACCGGCAAATGCGAACGACCAGAATGTGGGCGGAGCTTCTCTGCTCAAGCAAGCCGGTGTCGCCGGAAACTGCACGCAGGTGATAAGTAGATACTAGGTTGACAGCTTCTTACAGAGTCACAGACAAAAGGTGACTGCCGTGTCATGAGTGTGGGTGTGTTGTTAAATCATTGACTTGGCTCCGGGGTAGAGAAGGGGGAAAATGATGAATGCCAGACGCACACCACCTATGTTTTAAAGCGTATGCAAACCCCCAAAACAAAATTTTAAAGAGTAACGCTCACGCACCACCAAAACTTAAAGGGGGTAATCTGCTGGTTTAATGTGTAATACACACACATCTGTGCGTAATGGGGAGCTCTGTGTGATCCTTTCCTCTGCGGTGGAGCCCCGATGCATTGGAAGCTCACAACACAAGCACAGAAATAGACTGAGGCTCTAAACAGCCATTCCCCCTTTCCTCACGCCAAAATCTCTGCAGGCCTCCTCAGCCTCGATACAGCTCTTCCCTCTACCCTGCTGTAGTCCAGACTGAACTCGTCTCACACTTACTCACTCTCTCTGCTTTACACACTTGCGCCAAACAATACAATAGGCTAGGCCTAACTTCCTGTTATTGACCGACACGCCAGACAGATTGCCCAAATAAACAGCCAAATAGACCACAGTGTGTAACCTTTATTAACCCCTTCATTACCAGGCTGTTCAGTAAGAAGCAGGCCTTGAAGTAATATATATGCATCTTTGCGTTTCATAAAAGATCAATATTTTTCACAGTTTTGGACGAAAGTCCATTATAATTTTTGTTTGTTCTATTTTAGAAAAGATTGTTTGTGTCTTCTTTCCATCTCAGCATTGTCCATTGTGTGGCAGTAGTTTCAAAACACAACACTCTTGATCTGGCAGCGAAGGGGTTAAGAATTCCCAATAAGTCTGTTTGGAAAAAGTCTAAAATAAAGATCTCATATATGCAAAGATATGACAAATACTAATAGGCCTACAAAGTATTTTGCTATGCAGTTGAGGCTAGGGGGGGGGGGTATTATTGTACCTGGAGTTAAATCTTTTTCTTTTTTTAAAACTAGATCTAGATCTAGATTTAGATTCTAGATTCTATAATTAGACCTTCCCATAGCTTCGCCTTGAAATGTGAATTCAGAGCGCAAGCAGACTGTAAAATTGCATACAATGATTGTGCTAGGTTTTTGTCCTGAAATCTAAGCACACCATTGTGGAACGTTTCTTTTTTCCACAGATCAATTACAACAATTGGAAATGCAAGCAGGGACGTGTACAGCTGTTCACGAGTTGTGAAATGCAGCTGATGATAGATAAAACATTTCTTATTCCTAAGATTAAAGTTTAGATTTAGGCATAGAACTACATCTAAGCGTTGACTACCGGTGTGTTTCAACGATATTCCTTAATATAATGGAACACAATCATTCTAGTAATTATCGTAATACCTGTGATAAAATCATGGTCACAATGCGTTCCCGGCGCTGGCAACCATTGTTTACACATACATGTTGATGGTCCGCCATTTTGTTTCCCAGGAAGCTTCTTCGTCGACAGCCAGCCAGCCACTCCTCCTTTAGCTTATTTTTTGCTCCCAGATTTTGAGATACATTGGACCACTGACAAAAAAAAACGAAAAAAAAACTCCATTATGTCAGTAATGATAAAACTTGTTAATCATTTTTTAAACCTTGATGGTTATAGAAATAAATGTAAGCAGCAGCATCATGCATATCAATTAATGAATAATTACCTTCTGGACATGAATTACTTTCAGCTAATCTATTGTTCACACCATCGTACACACTAGACCGCAGGCCCCAGACTGAAATATACACAAAATTTTGAAGTACATACACAGAAACAATTGTTATCCATGTTCGTGTCTGTAATCCTCCTCTTCCCTGGTTGGTTGTCAGATATTTATTCTATTAAAAGGCTTTTTTTTTCCTTTTAAAAACAAGACCAACTGTTTCTTTTCCTATTCCCTGTGAATGCTGGACAATTATCCAAAGACAGTGAAAATAAACCTTAGGGCAACAGAATCGGGTTTCTTTTGGAGACTTGGGAATTTTATGGAAGTTATAGAAACCAAATGGGATTGTGCTGAAATAAATCTAAGTGGACCAAGTGCTCACAAGAATAGTTAATAGCAACAGATTATGACGTTTCTGTGACACCCGAAAAGACATAAAAGTCTTGAAAACTTGCTCTCAATGGAAATAAAGAAGCCAAAATAGTCAGGGATCATAGACTAAGAAAATCTTACTTCGAAAGCTTGAAAAGATGGGTGATGGGGAAAGACCAGGACAATATACATGTACATATGTTTTTAGACCTTCTGATCAGAGAAACGAGTGGCTAATTTTTAAAACGGCCAAAATTGGCGAAGCAAGTGCAGATTCTATACTGTTCGGACTACCGAGACACACCAACTCCTAATTTTTACGTTGCTTTGTTTACGGCTTCGAACGAATGCCACCTACCCTGGACGGTGATGCCTGGTGCTCTGGAATCGTATATCATTCCCTCTTGCTTACAAGTGTTTATTGCCATTCAATTGCTTTGTCAACATGCCAGGGTCTGCTTAGGACTGCTTGATATATTGAACAGTGACCACCAAATGAGTATGTAGGCGTTTGCTGGAAAGAAGAGCAAGTGTCTTCCTGAACAAGTTCGGACCCGCTGCAAACTTACACTTTAAATCAACACTGCGACTGGATCGGAAAAGTAAAGTAGAATCTAGACTCTAGATCTAGATCTAAATCAACATTGCTGAAAGGGAGTTACAAACACCTGTCCAGTAGAAATATAATAGACCACGGCAAGTCTTTAAAGAATCATTTGTGTGTGTGTGTTAGAAAGGGGCCACCTCTATTCTCACTCGAGAATAGTGCAGGCGAGTCTTTTGGCTATTCTCACCCGGTGCGCGTTCACTGTTATAGCCTAGATCTAGGCCAACAAATTTTGCGTTCACCCTAAACCACAGAATTCTACACTGTGATAACAGAAAAATTGGAGAATTCTGTGCCATGAACAAACGTTCCATTACAACTGTAGCCTACTAAAAGCGTACAATTTTGTCTGTGGGCAGTGGAGAGAGAGAGAGAGAGAAAAAGAGAGAGAGAGGAGTAGCGCGAGAACTTCCGGGCAAAACAAAATGGTGACCCGCGTAGTTCGGCTCGATTCGAAAAGTTAAATAGCCGTAGCATCTTTGTAGACAACCAAATTAATTTACTTTTGTGTTTTAACATCATTTTTTAACTTTGTTTTGGTCAATTTGATCGTCCACACCGATAGACAGTATTCAGAAAGAGACAGAGAGAGAGAAGAGGGGAGGAATAGATCTTGCGAGAACTTCCGGGCAAAACAAAATGGCGACTCCCGTTGTTCGGCTCGATTCAAAAAGTGAAATAGCCATAGCATCTTTGTAGTCCATAAAATTAGCTTACTTTTGTGCTATAACGTAATCTTTTCTTTGCCTTTATCCATTTGATCATCCACATCGATAGAAAGTATTCCGAAATGAGGAAAAACAGGTCTTGTTTCACACCGGGTGAGAATAGCCTACGGTGGCAAAAGTCTTACCCGGGGTGAGAGGTCGATCGTATTTCTATTCTCACCCCGGGGGAGGATAGCCACTTCCTTTTTACCCATCATGACAAGCTACGCACTTTTGTTTACTGCTAGCTTTTTTTGTGATTGTGTTACAGTTCCTAAATTAATAGTATATATAGATTTAGATGAGCCATTGCCAAAACGTTGGGAAAAACACATACATCTCACATTAGTGTGCATAAAATGTGATGCATTAGTATTTATTCCTCTAAAACTTATCACATGATGTCAAATATAGGATGTAGAACCTGCATTGTTTCAGACCCTATGTCAGCATTACAATCTTGAGTTTGTAAATTTTGTGCCAAAAATGTATCTCTATTTTAGATCATCCTGATACAAAGGTAAAGCTTTTTTTAAAACAGGTTTACAACCTACAAAATGATGGAGGATTTCCGGCACGTATACATCCGCTTATGTAAAGATCATCACATCGATCCCCAAGATTGTATTCTGGAAAAGCTGAAAAGGTAAATTTTGCATTTCAAGCTTAGTTTGAAGATTGTATGAAAACATTGAAAAGTGTGCTAATGCAAAGGCATTGAATGAAAAAGTATAAATATGCTGTATAGCGCAAGAATATTTTCATACCATCTAATGGCTCCTTCAATTCCTTGTAAATAAATAAATCAAGATCTTCCCTTGAAAATGAGGCATTATTTGTTAGAATTTTACCTCTTTTTCTAGTTTTTTTAACCCAAATTTATCTTTGGGAAGTTCAGTCAAAATTGTCCAAAACAGCCACTTCGAGGAAAAAGTGTTGTCTGATTTATAAAGAAGGACATCATGGACAGCGTCGTTGTAAAGGAAAACACAAGGGTAGAAGTGGTCATCTGTACAGGTGATTGTCTTTGACAGGCAGATGTTATAGCAGGTTTGGCTGTACTTCTTCCCTCTCATTTCTACCATGGTTCTCTCAAGCATAATTCAAGATCAACAAAGAGACATAAAGTTTTCATCTTTAGAGCATAGCATACCTGCAGCTTAAACAAAGACTCATTTTGACTGGTATTTTGAAAGTACTGTCTATTTGAAAATGTTTTTTCTTTGTTCGTTTTTACTGGTACCATCAGAAGACACTACTTGTAAATATCTCACTAATACAGAGAACTGAAGGCTAATGTGAATATCTTATCTTTTTTTTTAAAGCTTTGAGCTCCATGGATCTAAAAGTAAAGCAGTTCTGGATCTGTCAACCAATAGCCTGACGCCAAAGACATGTGCTGTCTTAGGAAAGGTTCTTGCCACAGACAGGACATTTGTAGAGATCAAGTTTTCAGACTGCATGCTCACTGAAGAAGGTTTGTGCTGTTCTCTTAGACAGGCATACTCCCTCAATGAGTGAAATTAGCCTCCTTTGTTTTAATATGATCTTTTTCAGTGTTAGAATTAATCACCCTGGAACTGAGACAGCTTTTTCATTGGAATAAAAATTTCTCTTTGCAAGTTCCGTCTATAACTGGTTACAGAAAATCTCATCTGTTTAATTTTTGTGTTAGTGTTTTGTGAATGAAGAGAAAAGAACAAGTTAGTTTTGATTTTGAGGACCTGAATTTTCAGAGGATTCATCACGTTATCCCATTTGATTTATTTTTATCCATGCTGATGATGAGTGAAGGTGCTGTGTAGTAAATGATTTAACACATGTTTTTAGCTGTCTTTGACATTGTTGAATGTTAAATTCTTCATATATTTTCTAAGATCTGCTAATGGTAATTATTTAAAGAGAGATTTTTCTTTTATTCCAGCAATTCAAGGTCTTGCTCAGGGCCTTGCTTACAACTCCTTTTGCAGAAAACTGGATCTGAAGGTAAAAACTTTGTTTTCAATTTTTCATTTCTTTTGTGGTTGATGAGTGTCCTATTCAAAAGTTCATTTTATACACCTGTCTACAAAAAAATATGGTTCTACTTGAGATGATACAATATGACCTTCTTTAGATGAGTAAATGAATCATTAAAAGAATAAAAAATTAAAATATCAACTCCAAAATGGGGATCCTTTCTTTATGAATACTTTTCTTTTTTTAGCTTTTCGCTTTTACCTACCCTGGACGTACCCATACTAATGCATTATTTTCATAAGTCAGAAGAAATATTCTTCCAGCCTCTCTGAAGCACCGAAAGATTTAGAATTGTTTGAACTTCTACTGAGCATTTGTTAAGACCAAAGTGAGAAAGTGATATGTGAACTGAACATGAAATGCTGTGTGTGTGTATGTGTGTGCATGCGCATGTGTGTGCACACGCATGTATTAATGTTCATAAATGTGAGTGTGTATGGCTGCAAGTGTTTCAATATTTGTAACTGGATGTTCATTCTTAGACTTTTTTTTGTTTGATTTCATTCTAAGCTTCATAGTCTTGTGCATTGTAAGTTCCTCTCACTCTCTAAAGCAGTGTATTCGGCACATGGAACCCTGTCCACTGATTCAAATGTAGCAGGACTTTCAATACAGATTTTAAGATTCCAAAGTTGGTTTTTTGTTAGTTCATTTCTGTTTTATAGAGACTGTACTTGCAGGACTCTTCGCGCCCAGAAAAACTCATTATTCCTTACTTCCTTATTGATTGTGTACTGGGTTTTACTTTGTTGGGTTATACTCCCTTGTCAGTTCTTTAATGTTGAAATGAGTTACATCAGAAATTCTTCCTCCTTCCTTATTTTAAACTGTACAGAGATCTCATTCTCTGCTTCACTGAAGTATTTTGACCTACGGTCGAACCTGTGCTAGACAACAACTCATTGTTAAGGGCAGAAGTGGTCATGTTAGACAGGTGGTCCTCTTGGACAGTTTCATTATGAGAAAAATTCCAAGCGGGAAAATGGTAAGTGGTCGTTTGTACAGGTGACTGTCTTAGACATGTTGTAATTAGAAGTGGTTTGACTTTATCTGTCTTTAATCATTTACATGCCCTTTTTTGTTTACAGGGAAACAATATACGAGGTGCTGGCACCGAAGCTTTGGGGAAAATGCTCAGGCACAACAAAAGTTTAGTGAGGTATGTGATCAGTTAGGTCCCTCTAGGGCTTTTGTTCATTGTTTTAGTCGAATTATGCATGCTGAAAATGCAACAGTTTTACCCTGTCATGACAATGTGTTTGCTTTTTTCCTTTTACTTGTTTAGTTAATAAGTGATTGTACTGATCTGTACTGACCTTCTTCTCTCAATCAGGAATTTAAGGCTATTAGACCTTTTATATAGATCTTCGTTCACTCTGCAGGTGTAATGTCATATGTTTCTCTCAGTGCACTCACCAAAACTTTGGAAAGTTTGTCCTTAATATTGATGGCATTGCCTCAGTGACCATGTATTGTATGAAATGGAAGGAAAGGATAATATAGTGCTGAACAACAGCTGTAACACATGGAATCTGACACAAATCAAGAGTGGCAAAGGGTAAAAACAGTGATTTACTGTATCACCAGAACTCTCTAAAGAAGAAAGAGAGGTGTAGCTTTGCAGACCACCCCTGAATGTTCATGCTCCACATGTTTTCACTGTGAAAGAAATGTGCATTATTCTTATGGTGATGCATCTCTCATGAAAAGCAGTTATGATGTCTTTGCTAAACCTGTTTCTATGTCTTTGGTCTGCTTTGATGAGGTGAGCTGTTTATAGGACTAGTATCTGAAACTGATGAAATATTTTGTTAACTGTCTTTGTTCTTGATCATGTTTCAAAAAGTATTGCATTTCTATTTCAACATATTTTGTATTAGCTCCCTTATTAGATGTTTTTCTTTTAAATGGTTTAGTTGTGATATGTTGTAACAAATTAAATTTGTTTTATATATGTCTTTAATCTGTTCTTTTAGTTCTTTGTGAGGGGATAAACAGTCTGATAAAAACCCTTTGAATGAAAATTTGGCTATTTCTAAATATCACCTACACAGACTTGTATTGTGATCCTATTCAGTTTATGCTTGGAGTGGAATGGAATGGGTATGCTGGACAGCTCTTTCTCTGTGTTCTGTGATGGTGTGGGTTCAAGCACATCTCTGAGAGCTTTAGATCTCCGCAACAATCAAATAAGTCATGACAGCGTCGCAGAACTGGCAACCTCATTGAAAAGGAATGTCCACCTCAGGGCTCTAGGTATGATTTTGCAGTGCCAATTACAGTGTCCTGAGTACCTTTTCTTTTTTAAAGTCTTATTCCTCTGATAGATCGCTGAGGTGGTCAGCCACAGGATCTTCAACATATAGCACAACTGTTTTTAATGTGCAATATATTTTTTTTAATTCGGTGAATTAAAACACCGCTCATATTAATCTCCATGATGAAATAGATTATGTAGATGTTACAATGGCTAGTTGCCTACAATACAACGGTTGTGTAAAATATTTTGGAAGTTTTTGGTCATCGTGTAGATGTAAGATCCCTTTCAAAACTACGGTTATTTAAGAAGTGGGACCTCCGAATTTGACATCCAATCTGATAGGACCAAGCCAGATGGTTAGAGAGTCTTAAAAACTTTCTAAAATACCTCAGAGGTTGCACAAACACCACATAATACGTGATATAGCACCATGATGAACCATTTAAATAACACGCTACTGCTGGTCACCATTGAATAGCACATTGCTTTTTCTAGCTAGGTTTACCATATTTTGCTTAAGCACACACCCCAATGACCAATGACATAAATATTGTATTGGACCTTATTTGTGAGTATGAGCTCACTAATGACTGTGGCCATTTTTCTGACAAGAACATGATACACCTCACTTTTCGAGCACAGTTTTTTGTTTTCTAATTAGCTCTTCTACCGTTAACTTCTTACCCATAGTTTCTTCAGCTTTTAAATGGGAGGTCTTAGGGATTTTTCAAAGGCAGGAGGCTTGGGCAATTGTATCCCGTACAAATTGTTATATTTAAGTCCGAAAAAGTATGTCGAGGAAATAGGTGTTTGTATTTTACTTTTGGAATATCCGTTGTACTGTTTAAGAATTTGTTGATTTAGGGTTTGCTTAATGAAGACTATACATTTGATTAGCACTTTTAAATATGGATGAACTTCAATTGTACATATTTTAAAAGACTGAGTTTTGCTAATATGAACAAAGTCTTGTCTTCTTTGAACTGCTAACTGCTTTCAGAATTAACTGATGTGCCTATAGAAACGTTTTCCCCTCCTTGTTTCCAACCAGATCTTAGATGGAATAACTGTGGTCTTCTGGGAGGAAGAGCTCTCCTTGAGATGCTGCAAGCCAATAAGACTCTCTCACGACTGGAGCTGGCTGGAAACAATGTTCCTTCGGACATCACAAAATCAATTGGTATTTTTTTTTAAAAAAGTTTACCTTCTCCATTCTGCCGTAAGCTGACAAAACGCTTTTCTTTCATTTTGACACCAAAATTTTTTATTTGTTAAATCGAAAGCCTGATCAGTTACCCTACTTGTGTGATAAAATCAAAGTGAAACTGTGACTAGTTTATGAATAAATTTGAATTAAAATTTAGGAAGAACTCCCATTTTTCAATGGTTACACTGACAAAAAAAAACTCTTTTTCTCGAAACTCCTGTGAATAAAAAAAGGCGTTTTGTTAGCTTATGGCAGTATTGTCTATGTATTTAAATTTAGTTGAAGCTGCTGTCAGCTGTTTTCATATATACAGTTGAATCTGTCCAAGACAACCTGCCATTGTAGAGGAGAAAAATGTTCTTCATCTTAGACAGATGGTCCTCTTAAACAGTGTCGTTATAATATTTAAAAAACGGGAAGTAGGAAGTGGTCACTTGTACAGGTTGCCTTGGACAAGTGGTCGTTGTAGCAGGTTTTACTCTGTATATATATGTGAAGTGACAGAATGAGTTACTTCTCGGATTCGAGGCCTTTAGAAATAGGAAATAGGTGTAGTTTTATAATGTACAAGTATAAAATAATAAAGGCATGTTATACTTCAAGAATATGGCATCAATAAAAAAAATCTACAAATTTTACCCTAATGTCGATTTTTGGCCAATATCTCCTCTTGTGGATTACAAGAAGTCATTAATTTTGTCAGCACGCCTCACATATAAGAGTGTGGATGTGTATATATGCCACTTGAAATTTCAAATATGGAAATGCTATCTTTGAACTCAAATTTACCCTGAAATCCTGCGTTTTCTTATATTTGTTTGTAGAAATAAAGCAAAACATAACAGAGATGGTATTTTCACATTCGTCTGAGCGTGCTACTTATAGTTATAGTAAAATAATTCATGTCCACAGATGCTGCAGTTTCTGGCAATGCTGATCGACAAGCCATTGTAGATGAAAATCTCAAAAGGACTCAGACAATGGCAAAACACATCCGTGATCTGGAATTTGATAAGAAACTTCAGGTACCAGTGTAATTTTTTTTTTCTTGTATTTTTTTCTATTTTTCAAATGTTATTTATTTGATTACTATTTATTACCATAAAGTGCAGGCTATAAGCCACGACTTTACTTCCTCAGCTTTAAACCCTGTAGCTTAAACTATGATACGGCTTATGTTCTGATTTCCTTGATTGCAGGAGCATCACTCCTTCATCTATTCTTAGTATACACCTGAAACATTAAAAAGTTGACATATTTTCCTCTACACCACACTTTAGTGTCAGATTATTTATTTTATTTAGTTGGTGCAGCTTATTTACAGGTGTACTCAATAGCCTAATCTTTACAGTAACTGATATTTATTAAATTATTATTTTTTCGCTGAGAGTCTCTTCACCTACAGAAGTCTTTCATGAATCGACTGGTCAGGTTCTCTTCTTCTTGGCTGCTTTTTCTGTTTGCTATCATACAACTTAAATCAGGTGGCTCTCGTGGCCTAAAGGTTAAGGTTAAGGTGTTCGCTTCTCATTCAAAGGTCCCAGGTTCGAATCGGGGTTGCGATTGAAAAATTTTCTTCTCTAAAATTGTCTCCTTTCGCCTCCTTTTGTGCTCTCTAGCAATGTTCTGTTGTCTGCTTTCGTCTCCACTTTCTGCCCCCACCCCCTCACTTCCTTTGTCCCCTCCTCTTGTCTCTTGACTCTTTCTGCAGCCTTTCTACTGCTATTTCTTGTCTCCTTCTTACTATTGTTTTTCAGCCACACCCCTGATCTTATGGTCGGCAAGATCTACACCTAGCCTTGTCGGACAAGGACAAAAAATCTGAGAGGTCCCGTGTGCAAGTTGCGCATGTTAAAGATACCTTGGTGGTCTAAAATCGATAAGAGTAGGCTTCAGCCACCACCCGAGCAAAATTCAAAATTTTCTACCAACTGAAAATGTTTGGTGTGTCACACGCACTCGTATGACCTTATGCAGTTGCGAGCGCTGTTTAACGCTTACCAACTTAAATTAATTTTTTTTATGCTGCATAAAGTTCTTTTAAATCTTGTTCTCTTTTAAATTTCTATTTTCAAATCTCTGCTCTCCCTTTTCAACTTTTTTCTGCTATTGACACCTCTAGCCCAAATTTCAATTTGATTTTTATCTGTCTTGTCAAGTTGGGGGGTTTTCTCTCAAAAGCCACTACTACTATGAGAACATTTACAAAGGAAGTTTGTCACTGTGTAGATGTGCTGTAATATTCTCAAATAGATTACTGTAATCTATAGTTTTGCCATGTTCACAGACGATGATTATGAGGTTTAATTTTTGTTTCAGATCAATGACTTAATGTCTGCAATTGATCAGAAAGATGAAATCTTGAGGAAATCTCACAGGTAAAAAGAATATTTTTACTCGACTCTAGATTAGGGTTCTGCTAGATATGATACTTTCATTTGTGGTCTTCCTTTTTTTCCTGTGTCAAAAGAACATCAATTTGTTGATGAGCTTACTTAAGCATGTGCAAATTGCTATTCCACTCTTTGAATTCGTTCTTTATTAGTGTTACTCTTTGCTAAGAAAAGTTTGTTAATAAATCTTCCAACAGTTCTTTTTGTTGCAATAAAAAAAGAATGTATGAAATAAATCAAATGGAGAAAATAGTAGTGGTCTAAGATCTGCACATTTTGTAACTACAATCAGCATATTGTCACGAAGAATGATATCAAAATTTAGACCTCTTTGAGAAAACAAGCTTTGTGTTTTTCATCATCTGGACATGAAGTGACAATGGGTCCTCAATCTGACTTAAAGCATAGTTCTGTTGAAAATGTGTGCTCACTGAATTTCTGTTGTATATGTGAATTGCGTCCATAGATGAATTGATTTTTTTCCTGAGAAGGAGGACAAGAAGGAGTGAGTGGAGCTTTTGAGAATACATATATACACATGGTTTGGGAAGAAGACTGCTGTGGCATGCTTCCAAAGCACTATGTCTCTTTAACTGACTCGGTTTTTAAAAAATCTCTTACAACATTTTAGAATCTTGTAAGCATCATATAAGTCTACTGAAAAACATTTTGTGTGTGTTGTTAATATCAAATGCCAACAGTTATGAAAAAATTGCGGGTACATTAGTGGCTTTCATAATGAAAAATTTGTTTCAGAGTCTCCACCCAACAGATTGGGAACTTGCAAGTGGCTCTTGATGAGAGGAAAGGTGCATTCAACTCTATGGCAGCAAAGTGAGTGCCTCTGTAGTCAATAGCAGAGAAGATATTATCCTAATTTTGTAGACGAATAATATTCTTTATTACTAAAAATAATAATAATTCAGGTAATTTCTATAGTGCCCACTTCCCTACAATACAGCTCTAGACACTTAAGAATACTTTCACCATAACACAAAATACATGTGCATAAACATGCATACATGCACTCTTAAGATTAACACAAACACATAAACAGACATTCATAGTATCTCAGCACGGTCAATAATGATATGCACATCACATAATGAATATATGGATACTATGAATAAGGACTAACTATCAAGATGGCACTTCATAAGGTATATTTTATAATGAATTTTAAATTTTATCTCCGACTTTGTGTCCTTGTTGTGGGAGAAGACTAGATGAGAAAAGGACCCCCAGTGAGTTTTTGACCTCCCTTTCAAGGTACTCTCGTAAGAGACTTGTCTCCTGATCGTAGAGATCTGTTTCCTAAGCCCGCCATGTTTTGAACTAGACTCTAGTACTTTTAGTTTAACCCTATCCCTACGTCATGTTTAACTATCGTATCCATACGACGTGGGGAACTCTGTGCCACCACTTTCCAAAGAGGAAATTTACTCGTTAGTCCGATCCGTATGCTTTGCATAGCAGTCTGTCAAAAAGATTTTTTTCTTGAGAAATACTAAAAGTTTCGAAGAGATCTGCGTACTAGAAATATTCTTAAATGTGAAGAATACAACCCCGGGGGCACAAAATGACCCCGGGGCGTACGGATAGGATTAATGCTGTAACTATGGTTCTTTTTTTTTCACTGTTTGTGTGGAGTAACAAGTCTTCCTCATCACTACTTCCTTTCATTCACATCATCAAAACCGTGAACAAGTACAGTCGAACCTGCTCTGATGGTCACCTGTATAAGACAATCACCTGTACAGTCGCTTCCCGTCTCCCCCCCCCCCCCCCCCCCCCCCCCCCCGCCCTTGCGGTTTGTTTTTTTTTGTACAAGATAAAGACACTGCGTATGAAGTCCACCTCTCTAAGATGGTCACTTTTCCCCTCAACATTAAACAATGAAAGGCCATCTCCGACGATTTTGACAGTATTAGATACTGCTGACCTTACAGTTTTTCAGAATTCCTCATATCTGGATGTTTCATTGCTTTCTTTTCCCAGATTATCTATGGCTGAGACGGAACTGGCGTTATCAGAGCAGAAAGTCAATGAGTTCAGTTCAACTGTCAATCGATTCAAGGCGGAAATGCAAGAAATGGCTGTGAATCATTCAAATGAATTTCGTCGAGAGAAAGAGGTAAATGTTTTCTGAAAGTTTGTTACTAAAGAGAGCTTATCTATGGGTGTTTTATCGTCTAATGCACTGGTAAAAGCTTACAAAGTTTCAGAAAAAGTTGATGACTATTATATCATGTTTACTGATTTGTTACGGGGTATGTAACTTATTGCACTTTTCAGAATATTAGGAGTTTCTTTCTTGCATTTTTAAAAAAATGTTTATTGTTATCTGTCTGTTTTCTGCATCAGTACATAGCTGTAACTCAGCGATGGTGATAAATAAAACAAAGTGGTGTACTTTAAATAATGCTTGAACTGCCTCAGAGATATTTTTGTTCTTTAGCGCTTTGGATATGCAAAAAGAACTTTCATGATTACTAAAAAAAAGGAACCGCAAGGTAATTGTTATTGGATTTTTGGCTTGTCTTCTGTTGGCTTGTTCAGGATAGAGCAAATGAAGAAATCAAGTATCTGAGGGAAATCTCCGAGGCGCAGGACAAGAACGGCCAGTTACAAAACAAGGTATGTCTTCTTCTTTTGAATTATTTCACTCTTTTTGTTGTTGTTGATTTCAATATTACGCCTTATTGTTTAAACCATAAGAGGAATAATGAACATTGCTCACTTTGACATTGTTATTGCTCTTGGAAGAATCTCTTTTTTTAATGGCTAGACGTTTTTCCCACTTGGTGAGGCAGTCTTTTTTTAGGACAGCTCTTTAGTTAGTATTGTTTTGAAAATCAGTTTCGTGACCTAAGAGCCTTTTATTTGGCAGTGATGGCATACAGTCACCCTCCCCATCTGCTCTCTTTGTTTCCTTAATAAGTTTCAACTTATATACTGAGTGTAAGCCTACTTAAGTTTTATTCTACTTTTTACTGAAGCTCCGATTGTGTGGCTAATACTGTATCTTTTTTGTCCCCCTGAACTGTTTGTTACAGCTTAACCTAGATTTTTTTTTAATATTACTCGTTGGTGCAGGTTTACTCACTAGACATGAAAAATTGATTGGAATAAAGATTCTAGTTTATTTTTAAAAATTGTTTTTCATTTAGTTTTATGTGGCAGTTTGATATAAAAAGTTTCAAGTATGTTTGAAATCACAATTTCAACTTTGTGGCAATTCTCATTCTTTTTTTTTTTACAGGTTGAAGACCTGGAACGTAAATGCCGTCACCAGCAAGAACAAATTTACGAGCTGAAGGAACAGGTGACTCACCTACAGTCTGAGCTGACGCTCAAAGGCTCACAGTTTGATGGTATGTCACGTGAATACTTCTCTGTAGCTGTTTGTACCTGTCTTTCATTCCCTATCCCTCACTCTATGTCTCTTTGTCACTTGCTATGTCTCTCTTATTCTCTTTCTCTCTCTAACCTGTCTTTCTTCCTCTCTCTCTTTGTGTCTCTGTGTTTGTTCCTGTCTCTATGTTCTCTCTCTGTGTCTCTCTTACTCTCTTTCTATCTCTAATCTCTGCCTTTCTTCCTTTCTCTCTTTGTGTCTCTGTGTTTGTTCCTGTCTCTATGTTCTCTCTGTGTCTCTCTTTATTTGTTTCTCTGTCTCTTTCTCTCTCTCTCTCTTTCTCTCTATCTCTCCCTCTCCTTCTCCCTCTCAATATACGTCTGTGTCTCTCATTGAATGAAATAAAACTGCCAATTCATCGTAAGTTGTTGTTTTGTTGTGTGTGCCCCACAGAGAGGATTACCCAGGAGAAGCTGAGACAAAAGGAAGCCATGCGAGATCTGGAACAGTACAAACAGAAGGATGTAAGTGAATAATGTCTCTGACGACTTTACCTATTGTTGCCTCAACTCTCATAAGTCATAGGCCTATTTTCTGCTTGGTCACCGAAAAATTTAGTTGAAAATTTGTATAAGTTAAAATTCTCATCATGAACGAGATAAGTTCTAAGCTACTAGCATGTATTGCCTACTAAAATTTAAAGAAAAGAATGAAGGGTTGATATATTATGAGGATACAGGAGCAGTACAGGCTAGAAAATATTTATAATAAATGAGGAAAGATATTTATAAATGAGGAAGGAGACAATAATGCAGCATAATTCTGAATTGTCCTAACTTCTAAGAGCTAAGATGATTTGCTCTTTGACCCATGCATATAAGCTTTCTATTGTGGAAAAGAGGAGAATATATTCATATATTCAGTTAAAGGGAATAATAAGTGGAGCTATGAAATTGCTGAATCTATCTAGAAGCTACAGGTAAAAGTAAAGTGTTCTCAGATCATGACGATCATAGCCCTCTGATTCCTGTTCTTTTAATTGTTAGACATGCAATCACAATGTGTTTTAATGTTTTAGATGAACCGAATGAAACAAGAGAGTGAAGAAATGGAGCGTATTCTGCGAGACCGCATATCAAAAATGGAGTCACAGAGACTGGACATGGAGGAAGAGATTAGCCGTCTGAAGGCAGCTAACATGGCTGATAAGTTGAATGCTGAGGAGCAGACATCATCTCTCAAGCACCGACTGAAGTCGGAGGAGGTAAGAGATACTTGTCGGAACACTGTGTATTTTGATATTTATATACAGTGAAACTTGCTCTAGTGACCACCTGTGCAAGACAATTGCCCGTACAAAGACCACTTCCCACTTCCCCCTTTGTGCTTTTTTCTATGTCATAATGACAATGTCCAAGATGTCCACCTATCAGAGACAGACACTTTTCTGCTCAACTGTGGGTGGCCGTCTTGGACAATTTTGACTGTATTATAATGTTGGCCTCAATTCAACATCCCATCTTACTGTGAATTTCCCTCTGATACTTTTATACTTTAAGTAGCAACAAAAAAAACCCCATTAAACACCATGTTAATTCATATCCCAGCCATCTGAACTATATCAATGTACTGAACAGCCATGTGGTCAAAAGCATCTATGCCCAGCACCTAGTTTAGAGAAAACCCCTTTTTTTCCTGCTCCCGTAAAAAGTAGGTCTTCAGTCAAACATGGATTCTGCTCCTGTCTATCGATAAGCTTGAAGGCATATATTATTGAATATGCAGTAGTGAAACACTGATGTTGAATTAAAATGGAAAGCGCTGGTCATTTATTGAGGATCAAATTTATTTCGAAGATGACATGCAGTGGGGGGGGGGGGGGGGGGGGGGGAGGCTGTGAATGACCTTTTGATGTAATTATGATGCACCATTGTAAACAGCATTCAAAGGTTATTTCCACACCATTGTTTAGTGCAAAAGGTCATTTCAGTAGGAGTGAGCTTAGTTCACAAACTCAACACTGGTAATTATTTTAAATCCTTCGTTTTTGCTTTTACTTGTACCCAACACTGATCAGGAGCAACGTCACGTCCAATTAGAGGAGAAAATCCGAGTGCTGCAAACGAGCAAGGACGAGCTCCAGAGCCACTGCAACCAGCAGACAGCCTCGCTGACGCAGCTACAGCACAAGAACAGCAACTTACAGCTGGAGCTGGAGAACATGAAGAGACAGATGGACGAGATGGCTCAGGTGAGCGTGGGGCTCTGTCTCTCAAAGCTGGTGTTTCTTTGTTTGTTTATTTCTTTCTTTCTTTTTTTTGTGACTGGAAAAACCAGGATAATATAGTTTTTTTAGGAGCATCGCTGCAGTAAAATGGTTGGTGAGACATGATGGCCAATGTCTGGACTCTCTCTCAAAGCTGGTGTTTTTTTGTTTGTTTGTTTGTTTGTTTTTGTGACTGGAAAAGACCAGGATTTATAAAGTTTTTATTGAGACATTATGGCCAATGTCTGGACTCTCTCTCAAAGCTGGTGTTTGTTTATTTTTGTGAACGGAAAGTACCAGGATAGTATTGGTTTTTGTGGAGCATCAGAGCTGAGAAATGAGTGGTCGATGTCTGACCCCTCAATCAGAGCTGTTGCATTTCTTTATTTTTGTGACAGGAAAAGATCAGGATAATATGTGGAGGGGTTGTTTTTTTTGGATCATTTGAACTGAGAAATGAGAGGTCAAAAATGATGCGTGATGTCCTGTTTTAGACCTGGCACCGGCATTTTTTAAAGTTCTTCCCTTTTGAAGCAAAGTAGGTCTTTATGAGGTGAAACTTTAAATCAATCCATGACTTAAAGATACTGTGGAAGTATAAATACATTTCATGAAATGATAACGGTATTGATATATGGGTACAATTCATCTTATGTTCAACCTCTCACTGCCAGGCCTGCTTCATAGCACTAGGAGAGAGCCCAAGATCGTCTTTTGAAAGAAAAGTGGTAGAGTTTACTTTCTGTCGAAACATCCATTTTGTTGAGTTTTTTTAAGTTCATGTTTTGTTACTTTTACTTTTTACTTTCTTTGGTACTGGTGAGTGTCACTGGGAGAAACATTCGTCTGTCAGCTGTAGGTCGAGCGGCTTGGAGGAGGGTCAGATCGTGGGCTCTGATGATGTCCATTACGTAGTCGATCTAGTGGCGTCGTAGTGGTCTCCCTCTGTTTCTCCTGCCACAGTATCTTGTGTTGTAGGCTCTCAGCACTAGTTGCTCTGGGAGCTCTCTTGAGAAATAGCACTGTTTTCCTCTCTAGGAGCACTCTTGAGAAATTGTATAGTAGAACATGGCTATAGAGGGGTTTTTAGTTCCAGAAGAAAAATCCTGCTGCAGGCAAAGTTCCCGCTATAGGAATGTAAAGGGGAACACGAAAAAATCACTCACTACAGGCTTTCCTCTTCTTTTACTGTCGTTTTGGCCTAGCCAAGGCTTTGGGCAATGGCACATAACTTTTGGAGTGGCTCACATAACGCATCTCTCCGCACCATCTCTCTCAGCCGCCTGCCCCACCTCACTCATTACTGGACTTACCAGTCACAACACTGCACTGCTGACTGCCTGTTTGGAGCCCACCTACAGCCCCCCTCCCAAGCCCCCTTCCCCCAGTTAAAACTCACTCGATATCTCCTCCTGTATCCAAGTTCAGGCCTTTCCTTGCCCCGTTAAACCCTAGTACAGTTAATTGAGTTTACATAGACAAAAAAAGGGGGTTTACGGTATGGTCTCGCTGCAGTGGGTGCCGCTATAGTCGTGTTCTACTGTACCGTCTTCTTCTCTGGGAGCACTCTTGAGAAATAGTACTGTTTTCTTAAATGGGAGCACTCTTGTGAAATAGTACTGTTTTCTTAAATGGGAGCACTCTTGTGAAATAGTACTGTTTTTCTTCCCTTGGAGCACTCCAGAGACACAGTACTGTTTTCTTCTTTGGGAGCACTCTTGAGAAATATTAACTTGCGAAATAGTGCTAGTTGCTCTGGGGGCGCTCCAGAGAAATAGTACTGTTTTCTCCTCCTCTAATATCTTCCTTCTATATGGCTGTGAATGCTGGACAATCACTAAAGACAGTGAAAATAAAATAGAAGCAACAGAAATGTGATTTCGTAGGAGACTGCTGAGACTGAGAATATCATGGAAGGAAAAAAAATCAAATGAGGTAGTGCTTGATGAAGTCCACGTGGGACGCTCACTGTTAAAGACAATCAGGAAACGACAAATGCAGTTTTTGGGACACCTGAATAGACATAAAGGTCTTGAACATCTAGCTCTCACTGGCAAAATTGAAGGCAAACGAGGCAGGGGTAGGCCCAGAGCAACCTACTTTGAGAATCTTAACAAATGAGTAACAGAGAAAGATCAGGGAAACGTAGCTTTTTTTAACAGCATCCGAGCAAAGAAATGAATGGAGAACCATGATCGCCGATGTCTGCCGCAGATCTGGCACTGGATGATGATAAATGATATGTGTCATGACGTGGTGGAATCACGTGCTCGTCAGTTTTTGGGCGTGTGGAGTTAATGGTGTCATCTTAATGTTTGTTCATTTGTCCTGCTTTCGGTGAAAACAATACCAATCTATCTTAATTAGAAGGTGAGATATTTACGATTGAAGGAGGTAGGGGTTGCCTGGTTTCAGAGGTAAGATTAGTGAGAAAATGGCCACTAAAGTTTGGTGACTTCCAAAGCTTGAAAGTCCTTGGGAACTGAACATTTACAATTTTTGTGCCTTTAATCAACGTTTATCAGAAAAATCCACACAGAAAAATGTTTTAAATGAACGTCAAAGATGTTCAGCCAAAAACAAAAATTTGATAAAAATTTCCAAATTGGCAGAAAAATGCGGGTTTCTTCTATTTCGTTATTTTGACGAGCACCTGATTTCATCACGGTGCCTCACAATCTTATCGTCGTACCTTATCCTATTGCAGGAGGTGTCGGAGAAGAACAGCTACACCATGTCGGAGGTGGGCAAAGTGAAAGTAGAGCTGAACAAGTCTCAGGCCAAACTGGAGCAGGAACGTTCCACGCAGGCCGAGCTCAGGGAGAAGCTGTCCACTGTGGACAGTCAGATGTCAGGTACAGTAGACTTGGGCGGCTAAAGCACCTCACTGGATACATTCATAGATGTTTCAAAATGTTTGTTTCACATAATATGACTTTTTCTGCTTAGTTTCAGGGACTTGATTGACACATCGTTTTGCACCCCGCATGCGGTGCTACTGACTGAAGTGTCTTCAGGCCATTCCCAAAGGGGGGACATTAACCATGTTCTTATGCACAGTAGAATTGTAATTGTAAATGGTCAGATTCATTAATGTCATGCTCATAACTGTGCCTGAACTGCAAAAGGGAAGTGCTGCTTTTCCTTTCTAAATCCTTACTATCGTCATTTTTCCTCTACTTCTTTTTATATTTTTGTCACACTCTTGTGACCCGTTATTTCTGGGGTGCTTTGATAGTCGAAGCAGACTTTGTGCTGTTGAAGCTAGAGAGGTGAGCAGAGTACGCCTGATTCCCTGTAAGGAGTTCTGTGTTGACATCCACCCCTTGACGCTCATATGACCTTATGCAGTTGCGAGTGCCGCAAAACCTCTACTAAAACTAACACCTTCTTTTTGGTTTAGTCAAGTAAGTCCTGGAGATTGTAATACCTCCTTGTGGCAACATTTGTGTGGTTTATCTAAGATAAAAGGAGGAGGAAGAGTTTGGAAGGAATAAGTAAGATTTTTACAGATTGGGATTGTTCACTTCAAATGTCTTTACTTAGACTGATGTCTTTGACAAAATTTGGATGATAAATTCTTTAGTTGTGAAATTATAACAGGATGGTCTTTTCTTAATGTGTATGGGATATTGAGACTACATCATGTGACTCAAATTTCAGAATGTCTTAGAAAGAAAATGGAAAAAGTCCAATTTGGGTTTGAAGAATTTTTTTCTCTGCTTTCTTTCTCTCTACAGAACAATTACTGAAACACAGACAGGCCATGGAAGAGAAAGAAAAAGAAATTGTGACTCTGCAAGAAAAAATGAAAGGACGTGACCTTGAACTTGTTCGAATGAGAGAAGAAGAATCTCAAAGAGTGCAGATCTTACAGTCGGCCATTTTGAATTATGTTGGCAGTAATCGTGGTTCTTCCCCGCGCTGATCTCAGCTGTACAAGATAACGATAGACCAGTGTGATCTAGAGGGCTTTTCAAATATGAATTTACACTTTTAAGGAACGTCCTGGATGGGCAAACATTCCATTTTTGTCTTCACTATAGCTGAATTCCTCCTTCAGTGTTTCACAGAGATTTTGATTGCCTTTCTACTCAAGACTGCCAAACAAGTTAAAATTAGTAGATTAGCCCTCTCCTGAGCCGTGCAGTTAAAAGTTCTACCTTTTCAGTAAAGTGTTCACAAAAGTTCCCGTAACTGGAAAACTGGAAATTTTGAATGGCTTGTCTTGATGATGAATGGAACATTTTTCAGAATTGACGTATGTCTTAAGTGTACTCTTATTTTTGGCACTTAATAATATCAGTATTAATCTGGATCTTGCAATGTTCAGTGCTCGTCACAAGTGTTAAATCGAATATGTTGTTTGAAGAGAGGAAAAAGAACATGCCTTGGATTAAACAAGATATTCAGTACTCAAGAGTGACAGAATTTAATTATTTACAATATTGATATATGGGAGCCTACACAAATACCAGTGATTATGAAGAGATTTGAAACTTATCCTTCATGAAACCAAAGGTGTCAGTAAGTGAACTATGCCTTTAATTGAGCTCATAATGTATGATATGCACACATGCAGTGGAAAGAGCATAATATTGCTAAAGCTGTTAAATTTTTTTCATCATTCCTTATGGAAATATCAACCAAGACTCTTAATGCGGCAAGGCATCCATTAGCATTTCTTTTTTGCTCTTTTCATCCTGCAAACAAATAAATCTGGATTGTGCCTTAAGAAGAAAAAAAAAAGCATTGACACAAAGATAAAGACCATTTTTATATTGTAATATCTTATCAAGCCAATCAATATTCCTTATATTTGTTTGTTTTTGTTGTCTCCCTCGACGAGTGTAGAGCTTGCATATCATTCCCTCACTCTTCCTCTGTACTCACTCACTCACTCACAGTGTTTGAACATCACTGGTCTGAATTTTCACTAGTTTTGATGAACTTTCACTTGCTCTTCATGTGTATAAGGAAGTTCCGGGTTTTCAAACTTCTGGTCAATGGTAAAAGTTTGCCGGCTGTGGCCGGAAATTCCAGCAAGAGAAAACCAGCGAGCATCATGGTGCCGGCAACTAACAGCCGGGACGGCCGTCATTGACTGGACTAGCGTTGATCTCGTGAAGCATTAGATTCTTTCATTTGCCTGACAACTGTCTTAATACAGTCTGACTGTTTAACTCCGCTGCTCGAGTTCGAGCGATGTGCTACAGTTTCCAGCAGTTTTTATGGTGGACGATGATATATCCGCTTAATTTTTCGTTACTAGGATCGACCTTCCATTGTTACAGAGTAAATATAGCCTAACAAGTTTCGAATTATCAATTCGATTATCTTTTCAGGCAAAGCCCCTTGAGATGCTATGAGTTTGAAAGTTTTCAGGCAAAATGGTTGTGACCAACATTTACCCTTGCTTCTTGTACTAAGTGCAGTTCTGTCTGGAACACTTTCGTCATCACAGGCCGGGGCTGTTACAGGATAGTGTGAATGTTTAGCTGATGTTTTTTCTGAAGACGGTTTCTCGCTGTTGACTGTTACTGTGATGCCTTCGCTGTTCACCGAATCCCATGAGTTGTTGCCGTTGATTGTAATAGAAAATATTACAAATCCATTTGATCATATTGGTAAAGTCATGACAATGATGAAAAGGACGATGATGAAGTATGTATTTGTTATGCTTTTTTTTATGTTCTGCCCTTCAGACTGTCTTGAAGTGGCCTTGCTTTGCACCAACATCTGTAGTGTAATGGACTGGCACAGAGCCATTCGCACACAGAACACAGGAGTTCTATTCCCAACTGGGGGGAGCTTTTTATCGAGTATCTGTATATCTGCTGTGAAGTTGTATCCCCCTGACGGGCAAGGTCAAAGCAGCCCACCTCTTAAATGAGCTAAACTGCATTCATGATATTGGAGCGTAATACATCTACTATGTCTTGTACTTGCCTTAGCCTGTCACTTGATATCACTTCTGATGTCACCAAGTTGTCTTTAAACATCTCACTTGTATCACAAACTTAAATGCTTTTAGGGTCCCATGATGTTTAACTTTGATCATGGTTTGGTTCAGAGACTTCTGTTTTATAGAATTTTTTGTAGTATCTGAAGTGATGTATCACTTGCTGACCTTGAGCTCTGCTTGTATCATGATTTTGTTCGACATGCTTGCCTTTTTTTTGCTAGTACTACCTGCTACAACAATCTGAGGGTTTTTTTTCGTATATTATATAATATAAATACTAGAATTTCAAGCTGTCCCTAAAGAAAAAGTTTTTGATTTTTTTTTCTCCTGAAAACTTTTTGAAAATAGCGATGTGCAAGCATAGCTTTTTGTTAAAGGATTCCGTTCATACTTAAAAGGAAATCTCATATATCTCTCCGTCCATAATTTTCACTTTGATTTGTTTTTATTTATATGAGTAATGACACGTACATTACCAATGTGCATATATATTTTGATATATTTTATTCTGTTTGTCTACATACACTTATACTGTTGCATTTGCCTTCCCCTAATTCTGCATAGTGTTAGTACTGAAATCAACTTTGTCCAAAGAAAATCTCTAAAAACTTCAAGTGTCGTCTGCAAAAATTTGATTACCGGTGTTAGATAGCATAAATTTATGTTCACATCTGACTAGTTTAAAAGTCACTTTTGTGCTCATGATTCATAGTTATGTTTTTTTTAACCTCCTTTTGAAATTTTTATCAGATGAAAGAAAGGAAAAGCTTTATGCATGTTGAAAGATTTAGATGTGGTTGATGCATGGTGCCTGAGCTGGAAAAAAACTTGGCACTTGCAACACAAGAAAGTCATATAAATGCTGAAGAGTAGAGGTGTTACTAGAGAGTAACATACAAAGAAAAAGAGGAGAGATCGTCGACCTCATTCAACATTGTCTGTCGTTTGCCAAAATTTTGCAAAAATGAAAATCAAATATGTTGTAGAATTTGATGTAATGCGTTGATTGATCTTAGTCTCATTCATCTTCTTAAAGTAGTAAAGGATTTTAAATGAATTAAACATTTCGTATTAACATAATATCCTGCTCGAAATAAAAGGGTTTGGGTTTTTTTGGCTACTCCTGAAAACCTCGTATTTTGACATACAACATAATGAATGACGGCGACGAGATAAGGCATCATAAGGAGGATGGAGAAGTGCTTGATAAGAAACAAGCATCTCCATCCATCTTGTGGGATGCGGTATCCCCTCTCAGCCCAGGTTGTCGGTGGCAGATAAGGTTGAAGCAACAGCTTACCTCCAATGTGATAGTGATATGAATTGTATAGATAAAGAGAAGTAAAACAGTGTGATCTTTGCATCGTTACATTACAAATAATGTGTGAACGTTTAGACAAATTTATCCTAGAATAAGTAATTATCATACCGACTGGTCAGTGGAAGACTCCACTAGACTCCATCCTTCGTCACTTTTCAAAATGGCAGTATGGCAGTCTTACTCTAATACGGGATGCCCATTGTGGGATTGAGGCGGGGCAGTTTGCTAGCCGGATTGAGGACGCAAAGCGGCTATAGTGGCACAAGCCGATCGCACCTGGCTCGTCGCTTCAAAAACAAACGTGTTTGTTTTCAGACGACGAGTGGGGCAACCGCCCACCGACCCGCCCTGACAAGATCCCATCCACAATGGGCACCCCGTATAAGCAGTCAGTACATGTATACTTGAATACTTGAATGTAGAACTGGGGTCTTAGGAAGATGGGGTGCTCCATGCTTCCTCGCCCTCTTCATAAGGGTCCATTTCAGTATGGGCAGTCTGATTGTCTCCATCATCAGCTGGTTGTTGTAGCATCTGATGGAGTCACTCAGGCTGCTCCTCCTGCCTTCACCAGGCTGTACTCCTTTCTCAGTCACAATCTCCTTCGTGAAGTACATGTACGTATTGTACAAATAACTCATCGCACAGGACATTAGTCACATATAGTTAATTTAAGTCGTGTAGTTGCATGTCTCTGTTGTGTTAGATCTTAGCTACTGTTCCAGTGAAACAAATTCACTGTTGATCAGGAATAGCAAAGCTAAAGTCTGAGTTAGTTTAGACTAATCCCTGGCTTAGTTTTTCTACAGAGTAAATCTGTTACATTAATATGTGTATAGCTGTTTCCACTGGTCACTTTCCATTCCTAAGTATTTATTTATTTATAATATATTATTAGATTAAAATGAACTTTTTCATGAGCTTCTGTGTTATTTTATTTCATCTTTTTTTGGTTCCTTTCCTGTTATTGTTTTTTATTATTGGCCTTCAGAGCTCCATAACCAGCGGCCGTGGCACAGTGGTTAGATGCTTTGCTGTCATACGCAGGAAACCTTAGTTTGATTTCCATGTGGGCACAATTTTATGGAGTATCTCAGTCTTTTTGCTGGTATAATAGGACAATATATATGCCTCTGGCAGACAGGGTCAAAAGCATACTTCAAAAATGATCTAAATTATGTTGAGGGAGACGTAAAAAACACCGGCATTAAAAAAACAAAAAACAAATTGGAGCTCTAGAGTATTGTTACTAAGTGTTAGTGAACCAAGACTGTCTGGAACAGACACTGTGAACAGAAATCACAACTCATTAGGTCATTATGTCTGACACAATCCTTTGGAAGAGCTATAGAGCGGGAGTCTGCCTAGCTTCAATGCAATAGTCATTGTTTATGTAAACGCTACTGAAGTACAAAAGCATGGACACATCGTTTTAACTCTATAACTTTCTTTTAACTGTTGTCTTTGACCAAAAAAAACGACAGGATTTGTTTTGGAAAAGGTATAAGAGACGCTGAGACCAGAGTCTTCCTCCAGCTTTTATTCTTTAACCGTAATTTATACAATTGAAACATTCCAAAAGTCTCCCTTTGTCGTGGAGGGAAAAAACGTTTGTCTTTGACAGCTGGACTTCCATTGGACAGTTTTAATTTTTGTTTTAATCAATTTAAGGGAATGGATATAATATGTAAAATTAAAGGTTCAGTTTTGTTAGCATGAAGTAAATAAAATTTAATAAACTTGTTTAACTTGAAGAAAATGACATTGGTTGAAAATCTACCAATTCGACCCGTGTGTCGACAATTCGGCCAATATCTCAATTCACGGAATACAGTGTAAGTACATGTCATGTACCTGGTACTCATTTTGCTGGAACTGCTCTGTTTGTTTGTCCAATATCTAGAGCGTCGTCGAGATAACGCCGATGTCCGGACCCAAAAGGACCGAAGGTTGACCTTCTTCGTCAGTGAACTGCTGTGTCATACCTCTCTCTCTCTCTCTCTCTCTCTCTCTCTCTCTCTCTCTCTCACACACACACACACACACACTCCCTCTCTCTATCTATCTCTCGCTTCTATCTATCCAACTACATGTACCTAACCATCTCTATTTATCTATCTATCTATCTATCTATCTATCTATCTATCTATCTATCTATCTATCTATCTCTCTAACTATCTATCTAGGCCTATCTATTTATCTATCTAACTATCTAGCCAGGCATATCTATTTATCTATCTATCTAACTATCTATCTATCAGGCCTCTCGTATCTATCTATCTATCTATCTAGGCCTATATATTTATCTAACTATCTATCTATCTATAAGGTGAATTGCGCCATTCCCCGAGCTCGAAGATTTTCTATCCACGTCTTCACCGTGTGTGAAAAGGTCGGCCGTTCAGTTTTCTAATCCCGGTTCTTAATGTCTACAATAGAACTTTATGACTCA